CACAGAGCCTTATGGGCCATGATAAGGAGTTTGGATTTTTCTAAGAGCAACAAGGAGCCACTGAAAGATGTGGCAGGTGGAATTTTCTAAAGATAGGTGCACCAATATGTATCCCATTAGCACTCTTCTTACACAGTGACTGAAACTCTACCATTGAGAATGGGGTCTATGGTCCTCGTCCCTCAGGTTGAGTCTAGGCATAGGCTGATCACTTCTCTGACAAATAGAGTATGCAGAAGGGAAACGATGTGACTTGTAGGGAGATCATCACAAGAATATAGCTTTCCCTTCTCTCTCTGAACACTTCTCAGTGGAACCTAGATACCATGCTGTGACAAAACCCAAAGTAGTCTTCACAGAGAGAGGACCTGAGGGTCCCTTGGGGAGAGGTCCTGAAACTCCCAGCCAGCCTCAACCACCAGTCACATGAGAGAATGAGTCTGGAGATCTTTATGGAATAAATTTATGGACAGTAGCTCATGGTATGACCATCAGAATAATGCCACTCTGCTCGATTCAGATTTCTGGCAGAGGCAGAGAGTTTAATGAGTCCAGCTAGTACAGTCAGCTATCTAATCCTAGAGAGCACAGGGACTGTGATGGAGAGTCCAGGATCCGGAATAAATCTACTGTGATATAGAATGAACAATAGTTCAATTACATTTTGGAGTATTTTGACAAATTTTATTCCCGCTGATGGACCATGTAATTTTTTCAGATAGAGAAAAAAAAGAAAGAAAAGGAACTATGGTTCAAAGAAAAGGTTAAGGCAGGAAATTATTTAAAAGACAAAGGACCCGGACAATCAACATAGCAATCACAATTCTTAGGATGAAGCACATCACTCCGTGTTTCAGTAGTAAAAGTTAAAGTATATAACCTATTACACTCTAATTAAATGTCTCTACTCTTTCTTCCATTTAGAGAATTGTTCACTGCTATTAGTTGGGATCTTGTTAGAAATGTAGCATCTTTGACCACACTAAAAGCTGCTAAGTCAGAATTTGTATTTAAAAAAAATCCCTGTTTATTTCATGCGTACACTAAGGTTTGAGAAGCAAGCAGTGTTTCCCAAAATGTGGTACGCGTACCCCCAGGGGTATGGGAAGAGTTTGGTGGGGGTACGCGTTGCACTGGAGTTTGGTGGGGATGTGCACTGCACCGTGCTTAGCTGTGCCTAATTCTATGTTCTCATGAGTTTGAGGGGTACTTAGCATTATAAAAATTATAGAAGGGATACACATATGTCAAAAGTTTGGGAAACACTGAAGAGGATCCCAAAGCAGACAGGAGAATTAGTAACCTTCTCTGATATTGTTAAACTTTACTGACATAGCCATTTCTACTTTCCCATCTACAGTTATCTTTTTCATCTACAGTTATCTCTAAATTATTATTTTTAATGGTTTGTTTTGTGTTCCTGTTTGCCTATCCCTTCTAGCAAACAATAGCCTAGATCTTTAAGGTCTAGAAAACTAGAGCTGATGAAAGTCAGCCACTACCTTTTTGTTACTAAAGAAGAGCCACGCTTGGTCTTCAAACTGTGTTGTTTTGCCTTTAAATTTTGTCTTGGAATTCTTTCTTGGTAAAATGAACTGCTGTAAATAGGCCTTTAATAATACCATGTAAATTGCGGCGAGAAGAGAAGTGCTAACAGTCCTGTAAATAGGTCTGCCTTGTAGTGAGCCTGTACCTCTGGACTGTGAATGTCACCTGTGCTTTTCAGGTCCTTTTCCTCTCTTAGGGATAACACGAGTGGGTTGAAGTTGGGTATTTCCCATCCTCCATGTATAAGTCCTCAGCCAGCTGGAGTTGGGCATTTCATTTCTCCAAGTTAGGCTCTGCAATAGTTTCTTCTGAGGCCAGAATTTGTTAAAACTAGAATGCTCTGGCATATTTATTTATTTATTTATTATTTTATTTCAGTTGGGTGTTTTATTGTTCTGGCAACTGCAAAATACACAAATTTCTGAAAGGCGGCCCCTGTGTGAAAGCCAGCACAGCTTCACCCCAGATAATTAATTCAGACAAATATACAAAATGCAGAGAAGTCTTAAGTGGCACGTAAAAGGCCCCAAGCCAACCGAAAACAATAAACCCAATGTAAAAGGTTTTCTATTCTTTAGGTCACTTATACACATTAAATAAATAAATAGCACATTTGCTATCAAAATAATAAAAAATAAATTTCAAGTATTACAAACGAAATCATCATTGGTGTGGTTCAAACAGTTTTTCTTCTTCCCACAAATGAAGAGTTTGTCCATGGTCTCAGGACAGAAAAAGGAGAGGGGTGCACTTACCCAAAAACAAATATGCAAAGTTAAAAAAGTTGGTCCCAGATTTTTTTTTTTTGTGGGGGGAGAGTTCTGGCATATTTAAAAATGTTCTCTCCCTGCCAGAAGCACAGTTGTTTTTATTTTGATATTCACTGTGAGACCTGGTAGAAGTACAGAAGGTAAAACTAAAGAAAAGGGTGGTGGTGATGGTAGGGGGCTCCCAATGACCGAGCACCCCTGGGTTTTTTATTTTTCACTCTTATCCACACACGGCCTCCAGCAATTAGTTTTACCTTCCTCAGCACTGGTTCCTGTGGATGTTTCAGCTTGTGTGTTTCTGCTCCATTAAGTTTTCTCTGTATTCTCCTAGTTGTGGCCATGGTTTGCCTTGTGACCTCACTTCTCTTACAGATCTAAGAAGAGTTGATTTTTCAGTTTAGCTTTTTACTCGTTAGGACAGAGAGGTGACTCCAAGCTTATGTGCTGGACTAAAAACTGAAAATCTGCACTGACATTTTAAATTTGGAAATAACTTATATCTACTCTGTTATGTTATTTAGAAACACAAAATATTCTTTCACTTATTTTGGCCTTCTTTAATATAATCTTTCAATAGTTTTATAATTTTCTCCACAAAGATCTTATATACATCTTTTTTAGTCAGCTCAGGCTTCCTTAACAAAATACCACAGACTGGGTGGCTTAAAAACCGGGGATTTATTTTCTCCATTTTGGAGGTTGGAAATCTGGGACTATGGTGCCAGCATCCTGGGTTCTGGTAGGAACTCTCTTCCTGGCTTGCTATCTCCTCAAATGTCAGAGATTCTGGTGTCTCTTCTCCTAAAGGGCGTCTCTTCTATTGGATCAGGGCTCTACTCTACGAACCCCTTTAACATTAATCACCTCCTGAAACGCTCTCTCATACAGTCCCATGGGGGGAATTTCATATATGAATCTCAGGGAGGAACACAATTTAGTCCACAGCATGTTTTGTTAGATTTAGTTCTAAATACTAAATATTTTTATGCTATTTTAAATGATTTTATTTTTCTTATTATACTTTTAAGTGTTTTTATAGTAAACTAGTGGCCTGGTGCATGGGTTTGTGCACATTGAAAGGAAATTAATCAGAAGAAATATTTTAACAGAGCTATTCACCTTTTCTTAATAATGGAAGTGTCACAGGTTTAAAAAAATTAGTAAAATTTTTACGAAAATAATATATACATTAATAAATAGCAAAGACATGATATAAAATAAAAAACGTGATATAAAAACAAAAAACATGTTATAAAAATAACATTGACTAAAACAAATTGATTAAACTTATTCTACTATCTCCCTGTCTATCACATTAAGAGTAAAAACACTTTCAGAGTGCTTGACTAATTTCCCTTGTGATGAAGTATTTACAACTTTAACTTTAATATCACATGCTCTTCAAATTCAAGAGAAAGCAATATATGACTGACCATGTCTCATACGGGTTCAGGCAGGAATATCCCTACTCTGTCTGGAGTTTGTCCTCGTGATTTATTAATATTCATTGCAAATGCTGGCATCACAGGAAATTGTCTTCAAATTAATTTAAATGGGAGGCCAGTGTCAGATGGGGACAAATCACTTCTTGGAATCAGAACCACCTCTCCTTCCGCAGATCCTGTGAATACTTCAGATTCCATTATGGTAGGTCGCAATCTTTTGATAATAAATCTAGTACCATTAAAAAGACCCTATTTACTATTAAGATTGATTCTCAGTAGCATGATGATTGCATCTACTTTCAATTTTAATTTAGACCTGGCATTCCTGAAGGAATACTATTAAGAAATTTGATGGGAAAATTTTCCTTTTTGGTATCATCTGTTGAATTGATGGAATCATCACTCAAATAGGTGTGAAAATCTCCATCAAGTATATCCAAAATTTCTTCATTTAATTTATGAAAGTGCTCATTTTTAGGACTAAGAAATTCCCGATCAAGAATGTGGATCAAAACACACATGTGTGTTTAGCGCCAGTGAGAGCTTTACATGTATCGTGCATGCGCAAGTCAACCTTTTTTAAATTGCCAGTGCGCAGTATTTGTACTGGCCAGTCGGTCAGTTGGATGGACATACATCAGTCACTTAGCTTTTTATATAGATGGACATGTAAGAACTTTTTTGAGTAATTATCTCTTAAGCATGTAAAATCTAATAATAACAAACTTCAATTTTTTTGAAAATTTCTTTATTTCAGAGTTATTGCCACATGGTCACATAATTTTCAAAATATGAGTTTATGATTGATCATTACAAGATCCCTTATCATATACATATTAGAAAGAGGGGAAAAGTTCTGTACGTTTAGTAGTTACATGATTTATAAGCAATAGTAAATTAGTGGAAGGTGAAAAATTCCCAATGCATTACTCATAGGATAACCATTCACAAATACAAGAAGCTAGGCAATAAAGGAAAATTGTTGTCATAGAAAAAATGCTAAAGGCATTTTAAAAGATAAATGCTTTAAGTTAGAACACATACTATTGATTAAATAAAGCTGTTATATAAGTTGGTACTTCTTGCTCTTGAATGTGTAGTATGGTGTTATCCATTTATTTGACATTTAAATACATAAAGTTTCAAGGCTGGGTTCTCAAAACAGTTGCTGATATTTTTGATAGTGTCTAGTATACTCAGAGTGCTTTCTTCATTTATTTTTTTTCTTTCATTAAGTTTAGTGAGACTGTGCAATGCTGGAGCAATAATCCAGAATGTCTTGAATAGTGAATTCCATTGTAACACCAGATCCAGGATAACAGCGAGCTATCAAACCTTCAAAGTGCTTATACTGGCGTATAAATTCATCCTGCATGGAGTGCCACACCACCTTTATAAAAGCAAAAATAAAAGTCATACTCTGAGTGGAAAGAATACACAATCAAGCATGCAGAAATAATGTCAAGACATAGTCTAAAAATTAAGCAGAGTGTAATAATGAAAAAACATGCATCCTAGCTTCTACTTAAAGATATGTGTGTTACACCGTCACTCTGTGCCCTAAGTTCTTCATCTGAAAACCAGGATGATGATGATGATGATGATGATGATGATGATGATAATAATAATACCTTTCTCCTAAGTTTCTTATGAGGATTAAATACTGTGAGTGAATGTATAATAGTAAAGTGCTTACAATAGTGACACAGTAATAAGCACACATTACATTTTAGCTCTTATTATATCTAAATATCCAATACAGATGTGGAGATGCACAATTATGTATGGAACTAAGACTAGTGACTAAATGAAATGCAATAGTTAATGCTTCAGTTTCATTTCAAGGGAAACTTTAAAATCATTTTAAAATTGATTACATAAAACACTGCTTGATGCCACAGTGAACACACCAAGATGAGACAGAAGGATTATCTACAATCCAAAGAATATATAATCTATAGACAATTATTGAGATAGAATCTGATATACACATTGACATATTAGTTAATACTAGGCTACATTTATTGATGCCTACTTTGTATCAGTATAGTACAAAGTACTTTATGTATATATTAGTCTAGGTATTTAAGTCTCATGACAACCTGATGGAGGAAGGTCTATGATCATCATTCCTATTTGACAGTTGAGGGAATGTAGACTTCCAGGAATTTTCCTCATAAACCCTAAATTTTGTAAGTCCCAAATTCCTGCCAATTTAAGACTATTTACTAAACAGTATTACGCTTTTTGCTTTTCATCTTTTAGCTCACAGCATTTCTGTCACCTGAAGTACCCCTCCTCCCATTTTATCTGTTAGTTATTATCTTACTTTCAGAGGCTAACACAAATGTAATACCTTACACCAGTAGTTGGCAAACTCATTAGTCAACAGAGCCAAATATCAACAGTACAACGATTGACATTTCTCTTGAGAGCCACATTTTTTACACGTAAACTTCTTCTAACACCACTTCTTCAAAATAGACACTCCCAGGCCGTGGTATTCTGTGGAAGAGCCACACTCAAGGGGCCAAAGAGCTGCATGTGGCTCACGAGCCACAGTTTGCTGACCATGGCCCTACTACCCAAAGCCTTTGATGATGTTGAAATCGGAATTAGTCTTATCTCTGGGCCTTTCAGTCTGGCTTATAAGAATTAATGGCTTGATTTGGAGTTTCAATCTGGCTCTCCCATCCATATGCTATGGGATCTTGGTCATATTATGCCACCTTTATAAACTTTGATTTTCTCATCTATAAAATGGCAGAGATAATAATAATAACGCCTACCATATTAGGGGATATGATTTCCATTTATCAAATAAGAAAACTGAGGCCCAGAGAGGATAACTAATTTGCCCAAAGTCAAGTTAGTTTAATCTCGACCCACCCCAAGCTCAGAATCATTTGACTGAACTATACTATATTCTACTTACTCCTCTCAAATATGAAAAATCCCCCAACCCAAAACAAAAGAGAAACAACTTAATGCCTCAAACAATAAAACATAAATATAAATATATAAGGAAAGCCATTAAACTTATATATAAATAAGCCATAAATATAATTCCCTCCTTCCTCAGAATTCATTAATTTGGTCTATACTTTATGGAACTTTCCTCCTGCACTAAAATTAAAAAAATCTGTAGCATTTCTAAATGAACATTTTGGAGAATAGCAATATATGTAAGCATGTGCAATCTAGGGTGATTAAAAGAACTAAGCATACCTGAAGTAAATTCTCCTCTTCACATAAATGTTTATCAACCTTCTTGTAGAGGTTATCTAGACCTTTTTTCACTTCCTTTCCAGGATATTCTTTAATGACTTTACGAAGTTCTTGTTTGTTAAACGCAAGTTGATAGCTTACTTCTTCCTCTCTTATACCCTGTGCTACACGAGCTTCAACGCCTTCAAAGAAATGCTTTAAGGAAATGAAAAGAAATAATGGCTAAAAGCTTTTATTTTTCATTTATATGTAAAAAAAAAAAAACCAGATTAAAAATAGTACATATTCACTTTGTAAAAACCAGGCAATGTGTAAAAATATAAATAATAAAATAACAACCACCTATTATGCTACCACTTAGAGATAACCACTGTTAACATTTTAGATTTCCATCTAGACTTCTAATGTGTGGGGTAAATCTATACATATAAAATAAGTGACCAAACGACTGAATGACCGGCCGCTTGGTAGCTATGACATGCACTGACCACCGGGGGACAGACGCTCAATGCAGGAGCTGCCCCCTGGTGGTCAGTGCACGCCCACAGCGGGAGTGCTGCTCAGCTGACTGACAGGTGCCTGGTGAGCACAGCTGTGGTGGCCCAAGCCTCTCCCACCTCCGTGGCAGTGCTATTGAGTGGTGGTGGCGGCAGGTGCAGTGGGTCTGGATTGAGGGGGCAGCATCTGGCCTGGGCTCAGGCTCCTCCTCGGCCACCTGCTGCTTTGTGCACTACTACATCCCTCAGGGGAGGTTGGACTGCTGGTTTTGGCTTGATGCTGTGGGGATTAGGCCAAAATCAGCAGTCCGACATCCCTCAAGAGGTCCTGGATTGCAAGATGGTGAGGGGCCAGGCTGAGGGATCCTACTGGTGCACTGGGCCTTTAGTCAACATATATAAAAGCCTAAGCGACTGAGGACCATTTGACCGGTAGCTATGATGTGCACTGACCACCAGGGGGCAGATGCTCATCGCACAGGCATGGAAACTAATGAATCTCAGAATGCGGGAAGAGTTTAACCAAAGATCTTATACACATACTAGATATGCCTGGCCTGCGGGGATTGGGCCGAAACTGGCAGTCTGACATCCCCCGAGGGGTCCTGGATTGTGAGAGGGCCCAGGCCAGGCCAAGAGACCCGTGCACCGGTCTCTAGTAAGATTATAATTTTTTTTATTTATTTTTTTTTTATTTTTTTTTTTTTTTAGCAATCTTTATTGTTCATATTATTACAAAGGTTCCTCATTTCTTCCCCCCTCCACCAGGTTCCCACCCCACCCTCCGTCCCCCCCCCATCCCCCATTGTCCTCATCCATAGGTGCAGTTTATGTTCAGTCTCTTCTTCCCTCAATTTCCCCAATAGTAAATCCCTTTTCAGATAGTAAATCAGTTACTTAGCATTTTCTCATATCAATAATACCTCCACATGCCCAATGATACACTTCACACAAAAGACATTTCCCACTAGGTCAACCAGCCTCATCGAGGCCCCACCCAAGGCACTCACAGATCAACACCCCAGTCCTAAACTAACTCAACACATCCAGATCTAAGCCTTCATCACTTGATTCAGCAGACACTCAAGTTCCCACGAAAGTTTCCAGCCATGTCTGAGAAGCAGCCGTGGGGCAGGGGCAGGCAAGGAGCGAGCTGTTCTGGGCCTGGCTGCTCAGGGCCTGGCCTCTGTTGCTCTGGTTCATTCCACAACCAGCTGCTCCGGGTCTGGTCACTGCCGCTCCCAACCTAGTTGCTCTGGACTTGGCTGCTGCTGCTCCGGGCCTGGCCGCTCCCAGCCTGGCCGCCGCTGCTCCGGGCCTGGCCGCACCCGACCCGGCTGCTCCCCCGGGCCTGGCCGCTCCCAGCCTGGCAGCCGCTGCTCCGGGCCTGGCCGCACCAGCCCCGCCTGCTCCCCCGGGCCTGGCCGCTCCCAGCCTGGCAGCCGCTGCTCCGGGCCTGGCCGCACCAGCCCCGCCTGCTCCCCCGGGCCTGGCCGCTCCCAGCCTGGCAGCCGCTGCTCCGGGCCTGGCTGCACCTGACCCGCCTGCTCCCCCGGGCCTGGCCGCTCCCAGCCTGGCAGCCGCTGCTCCGGGCCTGGCCGCACCCGACCCGACTGCTCCCCCGGGCCTGGCCGCTCCCAGCCTGGCAGCCGCTGCTCCGGGCCTGGCCGCACCAGCCCCGCCTGCTCCCCCGGGCCTGGCCGCTCCCAGCCTGGCAGCCGCTGCTCCGGGCCTGGCCGCACCCGACCCGCCTGCTCCCCCGGGCCTGGCCGCTCCCAGCCTGGCAGCCGCTGCTCCGGGCCTGGCCGCACCCGACCCGCCTGCTCCCCCGGGCCTGGCCGCTCCCAGCCTGGCAGCCGCTGCTCCGGGCCTGGCCGCACCAGCCCCGCCTGCTCCCCCGGGCCTGGCCGCTCCCAGCCTGGCAGCCGCTGCTCCGGGCCTGGCCGCATCCGACCCGACTGCTCCCCCGGGCCTGGCCGCTCCCAGCCTGGCAGCCGCTGCTCCGGGCCTGGCCGCACCCGACCCGCCTGCTCCCCCGGGCCTGGCCGCTCCCAGCCTGGCAGCCGCTGCTCCGGGCCTGGCCGCACCCGACCCGCCTGTTCCCCCGGGTCTGGCCGCTCCCAGCCTGGCAGCCGCTGCTCCGGGCCTAGCCGCACCAGCCCCGCCTGCTCCCCCGGGCCTGGCCGCTCCCAGCCTGGTAGCCGCTGCTCTGGGCTTGGCCGCACCCGACCCGCCTGCTCCCCCGGGCCTGGCCGCTCCCAGCCTGGCAGCCGCTGCTCCGGGCCTGGCCGCACCAGCCCCGCCTGCTCCCCCGGGCCTGGCCGCTCCCAGCCTGGCAGCCGCTGCTCCGGGCCTGGCCGCACCCGACCCGCCTGCTCCCCCGGGCCTGGCCGCTCCCAGCCTGGCAGCCGCTGCTCCGGGCCTGGCCGCACCCGACCCGCCTGCTCCCCCGGGCCTGGCCGCTCCTAGCCTGGCAGCCGCTGCTCCGGGCCTGGCCGCACCAGCCCCGCCTGCTCCCCCGGGCCTGGCCGCTCCCAGCCTGGCAGCCGCTGCTCCGGGCCTGGCCGCATCCGACCCGACTGCTCCCCCAGGCCTGGCCGCTCCCAGCCTGGCAGCCGCTGCTCCGGGCCTGGCCGCACCCGACCCGCCTGCTCCCCCGGGCCTGGCCGCTCCCAGCCTGGCAGCCGCTGCTCCGGGCCTGGCCGCACCCGACCCGCCTGTTCCCCCGGGTCTGGCCGCTCCCAGCCTGGCAGCCGCTGCTCCGGGCCTAGCCGCACCAGCCCCGCCTGCTCCCCCGGGCCTGGCCGCTCCCAGCCTGGCAGCTGCTGCTCCGGGCTTGGCCGCACCCGACCCGCCTGCTCCCCCGGGCCTGGCCGCTCCCAGCCTGGCAGCCGCTGCTCCAGGCCTGGCCGCACCCGACCCGCCTGCTCCCCCGGGCCTGGCCGCTCCCAGCCTGGCAGCCGCTGCTCCGGGCCTGGCCACACCAGCCCCGCCTGCTCCCCCGGGCCTGGCCGCTCCCAGCCTGGCAGCCGCTGCTCCGGGCCTGGCCGCACCCGACCCGCCTGCTCCCCCGGGCCTGGCCGCTCCCAGCCTGGCAGCCGCTGCTCCGGGCCTGGCCGCACCCGACCCGCCTGCTCCCCCGGGCCTGGCCGCTCCCAGCCTGGCAGCCGCTGCTCCGGGCCTGGCCGCACCAGCCCCGCCTGCTCCCCCGGGCCTGGCCGCTCCCAGCCTGGCAGCCGCTGCTCCGGGCCTGGCCGCACCCGACCCGCCTGCTCCCCCGGGCCTGGCCGCTCCCAGCCTGGCAGCCGCTGCTCCGGGCCTGGCCGCACCCGACCCGCCTGCTCCCCCGGGCCTGGCCGCTCCCAGCCTGGCAGCCGCTGCTCCGGGCCTGGCCGCACCCGACCCGCCTGCTCCCCCGGGCCTGGCCGCTCCCAGCCTGGCAGCCGCTGCTCCGGGCCTGGCCGCACCCGACCCGCCTGCTCCCCCGGGCCTGGCCGCTCCCAGCCTGGCAGCTGCTGCTCCGGGCCTGGCCGCACCTGACCCGGCTGCTCTGGGCCCGGCTGCCCCGGGCCCGGCCGCTCCGAGCCTGGCCACTCCCGACCTGGATGCTCTGGGCTTGGCTACTGCTGTTCTGGGTCTGGCTGCTCCCACCCCGGCTGCTCTGGGCCCGGCTTCTTCGGGCCCGGCCACTCCGGCTCTGGGTGTTCCTGGACTGGCCACCCTGGGCTTGGCCGCCTCCGCCTCATGCCTGGCTGCCACTGCCCCAGGTCTGGCTACTCCAGTGCTGGCTGTTGATGCTCTGGTTCTGGCTGCTGTTGTTCTGGGGCCTGGCCGTTGCTGCTCCGGGTCTGGCTGCCACTGCCTTGTGCCTGGCCACTCTAGGCCTGGCCGTCGCTGTTCCAACATTCTGTCCTTTTTTTTTCTTTTTAAAACGCATTTATGTTGCAATGTTGGCTGGTGAGTTGAGTTCTGACTTAGTCTTTGATTTTTCAAGATCTTCTTTGTATTCTTTCTTAAGTAATTTTACTATTTTTTGCTCTCACTTGATTTCTTCACATTGAGAACTTCTTTGGTTTCTTCCTCCTTGTCCTGGGAGCTCAGCAGGTTGGCCTGTGGCACCCCTTTGTTCTCCGTGGGCTCCTGTGCTGCTTCAGCCTGTTGCCAGGACGGCGCCGCCCAGGAAGCAGCCCCCGGCCTTGGCTCCATTGCCCGAGCTCAGTGGTCAAAGGCTCAGGGGCACCCACGCCCCCAGGGGCCCCGTGGCCCGCCTCCTTGCTGGTGCCCGGTTGGCTGGAGTCCGGCAGGGGCTTCCGCTCCCCTCTGCGTTCCCCCAGCCTAGAGCTTTTTTTTTCTCCTTCCCACTAGGGAAGTCCAGCATCAGAGTCAACAGACTGTCCTCTGCGCGCAGTTTGCGCGAGTCCCACAGACTGTCCTCTGCGCACAGTTTGCGCGAGTCCCACAGACTGTCCTCTGCGTGCAGTTTGCGAGAGTCCCGGGGGCCCGGCCTTTCGCCGCTCTTCCCGGACTCCACCTCACAGCCCCGTCTCCCTCTGCCTGAGCCTGGGTCCCCAGGGATTGGCCCAGAACTGGGGTTCGGAGCAGTCCGGACTGAGGCTCAGCGCCGCCGGAAGCCTTGTTTCTTCCGGCTAGGGCAACCCAGCATCAGAGTCAACATTCAGTCCTCTGCGCGCATTGCGCGCGACTCCCGGGGCCCTGCCTTTCGCCGTTTTTCTGCCTCACGGCCCCGTCTCCTCCCACCGGAGCCTGGGTCCCCAGGGTCTGGCCCATAACTGGGGCTCAGCGCTGCCGGTTCGGGGGGGCTCAGCGCTGCCGGTTCGGGGGTTCAGCCCAGGCTGGGGGTTTTATTTCCTTCCTGCTAGGGAAGGAAAGGCGGCTCCCCGCCCTCTCCTCCTCTCTGGCTGCGACCTCTCCGTGCGCGCGTGCGGGCGGGCAGGCGCGCGCAGCATGTCTCCGTACCTTAGGCTTTTTTTCGGCTCCTCTGATTTTCTTTCTGGTTTTCTCTTTCCTTCTTGTTGTAGAAATTTCAGTCAGTCGACTACCTGTAGCTCTGGGCAATGTCCACTCTACATTTTAGTTGTATTCCATTGAAATTGTTGTGTGCTGCCGAGGCTAGATGTCTACCCGAGCAGCCATCTTGGATCCTCTCAAGATTATAATTTTTGTATGTTGTATTTTCCACTTAATATTTTATGAATCCTCCCCCAGAAGTATAAATTTTAATGTCTGCATTGTATTCCATCCGATGACTGAACTGAAGTTTATTTATGCATTCCTCCGGTACTAAATATATTTAATATTTTTCACTTTTTTCAGTGTTGGCAAAATCTACTCAGATTTAAAACAATCTATTGTAAACACAATTGTCATAAATATCTTTTGTACATTGGTATTTACTCACATTATTGATTACTTTCCAGCATAAATTTCTAGGACTACAATTCCTCAGTTGAGGAGTATATTTGGGAAAATATTCTGAAAATTCTTCAGATATGCAAATTTCTGTCAACAGTATCTGAGACTCACCATATAGCAGTCTTACCGTATTACTATGAACATTATCACAACTCAAAAATATAGTCGTCATTTTGATGAGTGAAAAAGTTTATTTGTTGCTTTATTATAATTATTTGGTTATCAATGAAGTTAACTTGCTTTCACATGATTAGTACTCTATTCAGAATTGTTGCTCATTTATATATGGGGAGTCTCAGTTCTTATTTATTTTTAAAAAATCTTGTATAGTAAATATACTTATTGTTGTATTGTTACACATATTCTTTGTAGGCTGTCTTTTACGTATATATGTACATTTTTGTTTTTTTATTCCACACCCGAGGATATTGATTTTTAAGAGTAAAAGAGAGAGAGGGAGAGAGAGAGAAAGAGAGAGAGAAAGAAAGAGAAACATGATAGATGTAAGAGGGAAATATCGATTGGTTGCCTCCTATATATGCCCTGATGGGATTGAAGCCGAAATCATTTTGTGTATAGGGACAACAGTCCAATCCATTGAACTATTTGTATTTTTTAATATGTCACTTTATTGATTGGCTTGCCTTATACACTATGATTTAATACTGACAAACCAAATCCCCTCTCAATACTTTCCTCTAAAATTTTCTTTGCAATTATTTCTTTTAACTGGTCATCATGACATGAGGAAATAAGCTGTTTTTTACATATTTATTTTGAATCCTACCACTTTATCAGAGATCAATCATTTTAGCATATTATATACAGGTAATTACAATCTTGACTCTATCTTTTATTAATGTTTTAGGAACTATTGCATTGGCTAGAGCTTCCATAACAATGTTAAATTAATAAAGGCTCTAGCAATATTTCTGCTTTAATTTGATTTCAAAGGGAATGCTTCTAATATTATAGTTAAGTATTACATAGGTTTAGGTCTGAGATAGACCTTTTCCCCTAAAAGTCCTTAAGTTTTATAAGGTATTGATTCCGCTTTTGGTTAAAGGTCGCTTAAATATTTCTTTGAATTGTGGACAACGAATATATATTTTTTATTTTGCCTCTAATTTGAAGTTAAAAACTTATAAAAGATGACTAATCACATTGTGGACAAAGTCAGTTAGCAGGGTCCATTTCAACTTATACAGTAATCGTAATGTCGTAGATAGTGTCTACGACCAAGTAAAATGATGCATAATGAAACCAATTTTACCATAGGCTAATTACTATAAATAAAACTGAAATTCCTGGCATCTCATCAACTTTTGAAAGAAACAACATTGAATGAAATGACCTTATTCAGAGACCTGCTGTACTATGTTGCAAAGTTTTTTAAAACCGTCATTTCTTTTCTTTTCTTTTTTAAAAAAAAATATATATATTTTATTGATTTTTTTTTACAGAGAGGAAGAGAGAGGGATAGAGAGTTAGAAACATTGAAGAGCTGCCTCTTGCAAACCACCTACTGGGGATGTGCCTGCAACCAAGGTACATGCCCTTGACCGGAATCGAACCTGGGACCTTTCAGTCCGCAGGCTGACGCTCTATCCACTGAGCCAAACTGGTTTTGGGTATAACCATCATTTCTTAATTTTAATAACTGAACTTGCTGTAGGGAATGACTCAAGTCAAGAAAAGAAGGGAAAGGAAAAGGCAATGCATAAAACATTTTTTGGTCTTTCCTTTAGCTTGATAAAATTTTGAAATCTTCATCTGAACTAGGGATAAAGGTTAGCTAAAACTTCAAGCAAGTTTATTTACTTTCAGTGTCTTCATTTGTAAAATACAGATAATACTATCTTACCCCACATCATTATTTACAAGAATTAAAAGAAATGATGTATACAGAGCATCCAGCAGTGTACTTGCAGCTTCAGTTACTGAATCTCTCTTCTTTCCTTACCTTGTACATTCATGGATGTAGCAGATTTAAGATGACTGTTGTGTTTTTCATATGTAAACATGTGAATATGTATTCAAAACCAGGAAAAAGATACCAAGTGAAAATATACTTACATTTAGTTTTTCAAGAGGTTGTCCTAAAGAGTAAATGACATAAGATTGCAGGTGATCTGTGTATTTTTGTTTGGCTTCTTTTTTCTCAGCTTCTAGACATGAGATTTTCAAACGAGAAAGTGTTGCAAAAATATGGTGAAAGTTTTCCATCATAACTACATCCCTCGGGGTCTTCTGGCTTTCATTAGCTACTTTCTCCACTAAATAAAAACAGGAAAACAAACAAACAAAAAATATCCTGATGTGAGTATTGACTATATTTAACTATAAAAACATTTATGTGATGTTTTTCATCTGTAAGTTTAAGAAGTAAACACATTTCTGGACTGAGTAAAATACACTGCAATGAAGAATCTTCACATCTACCTAAACCTAATAAAAATAGCATTCTAAAACAGTCCCATTTATATTATTATGCAATGAAGGTGGCTTTTCAAATCTGTGGGGAAATGATGAGTTATTCAAAGTGTGTTAAGACAACCAGCTGAATACATCTGGATTACTATTTTACATCTTTTAGACAAATAAATTCTAAATTGTCCAAGTACTTAAAATGTAAAAATAAAAAAGTGAATATGATAATAAGAATTAAGAAGAAATAAAGCGAATTAAAAAATAATTTTGTGATGGTATGACCTTCCTAAGAATTCCCCAAAACTTAGAAGTCATAATGGGGAAAGTGGATAAGTTTGACATAAAATTTGAAAGCTCTTATATTGTAAAAAAAATATCACAAGCAAAATAAATGTATAGTCTGTTAATTTGACAAAGAATAAAAATATTGCTAATACCTAGTAATCTTCATCATTGGTACAGATGTGACAGAAACTTTCACCAACTGCTCATAGCACGAAACTGGTATGATTTCTCTAAATGGCAATTTGGCAAAAACTTTGAGATATATACAAACCTTTGACCTGCAATTCCATTTCTAGTAATTTACCTTAAGGAAATTATTGGACAAGCACACAAAAATATATGCAAATTGGAAAGAAACTAAATGCCTATCAATAGGTGATCTGGTGATAAATACTGATACATGGAATACTATGTAATCATTAGAAATGAGTATGACTATCTAAGTTAACTAACAAGGGAAGAGTTGGATTATAATCTAGCAGGCTCCAGAACATTGAGTAAGGTATGATTTTTTTATATTAGAGAACATACAGATATAATATATGCACATTTATAAGAGGAAAAGAGACATACAGAAAAGTTTATATAAAGGAAAAAAATTAAATGGTATTCTGCATGAAGAGATTACATATCATCTGATTTTTAAAACTGCCTTCTAATTTTGGCAGTTGTGCAATGAGCATATGCTATTTCAAAATCAGACAAAGCAAAGCTATTTGAACTGTAAAAGAAATATCAATCATACAAACATTGAGTCATATAATTTATCTATCTTTTCCCTTGGCCTACTTCTGCTGAAAATGTTACATGCAATTAATGAAATGATCTACCTCTTGTCAATTCCTGAATACATGCACTTAGATAATTTATTTCAAATTAAATGACACATCATGCTGTTTCTCTGTAATTTAATTGGGGGATTTGACACAGGAAGACAGTGAATTATAGAAGTTTAGCATTAATCTATCTAATGAGACAGATATGAGAATTGAGGTCTACAAAAGTGAATTGATTTGCTTCAGGTCACACAGACACCACTGCCTATCATCTTCAGAAGACTTGCAAAAATGCATCTGTAATCTGGGAGATCTTTTTTTGTATTTAAAAAGTGAATTCAGTTTTGCATTGTGATAAGCCCATATAAACTCTAAAATCTAAGTGCTTCCTGATGAATATGAATAAATTTTATGTGCTCTTTGTTTTTCAAATTTCGGAAATTTTTAATTTCAGCCAATTTAAAACTATAGAATATGAAAAACAATGAACATATTTCCACTCAGCTTATGAGTTACCAGAAATGATAAAAACCAACCAAAAAATTCCTTAGAACATAACAAAAGCTTACCGTTAACAAATACTCCTCTGATAAGCTTAGTATATGCTTTATCTAGATCTCCACGACGCTCAGCATTTTTGAAGATTGATTCTGCAAGCCCAGCAAATTCTTCAAATTCAGCAACAAATGGAAGAATTCCTACTTTACTCTTCTTTGAGATTTTTACTTCTTCCATTTGCCTTATTTGGTTACTCTAAAGTTAGGCAGAAAGCACGGGAGAGAAATAGCTAAGCAACTTAAAACAAGGTATGGTAGTATAATCAAATGTACATATCATAGAGGAAAGATATAATTTAGTATATCTTTTGAATGCTTACCAACTAAAATTTGAATGCTTACCAACTAAAAATTAATACAAAGGGCCGAGGCCAGTTTGGCTCAGTGAATAGAGCGTCGGCCTGCGGACTGAAAGGTCCCAGGTTCGATTCCGGTCAAGAGCATGTACCTTGGTTGGGGGAACATCCCCAGTAAAGGATGTGCAAGAGGCAGCTGATTGATGTTTCTAGCTTTCTATCCCTCTCTCTTACTCTCTGTGAAAACTTAATAAAATATATTAAACAACAAACAAAAAAACAACCAATAAACATTGTTATCATTTATGAAAGATTAGTATAGGCAATTGGCCATTTGGGGTCACAGCTGATACCAGAACACATACAGAATCTCTTACAAGTTTCTCCTAGTTAGTGCCCAAGTGGCCAAGTTTGAGGACCATAGCCATTTCCAATTCTCATTAATCTAAAATTTGTTTGGATAGACAAGTTATGTATTTTTGGGGTGTGAAAATAGAGGGGGAGAACAGGCATTTCTACTATTGATTTAGATTACAAAGTTAATTTTCCATGTATGTACTTGCTATGTATTTTAAATTAGTTCAGGAAAATACTTATGTATGGATGGTGACAAAATATAAAAGGGATGTTTCATATAGACAGAATCTAACATCTGGGTTCATAAAGATCCATGGAATTCAATTATGGTTCTGTGTACTTCTCAGAGGATCTAAATCTATTCAAGAGAAAATTACATTGCCAAGTACTGTTGGACCATTTTCAACTTCTATGCAAAATTCCATTGTGTTGAGATGTTGGGGGTATAACTAGAAAACCATATGACATGTGGATTAGAAAAGTAATTATTTAGGCTATAGGTATTAATATAAGAAAATACTGTGGGTATTGTCAATCGTTTCATATTATCTTTACTACTAGTCTACTTCATTAGTATTGATAACTGTGAAGAATGAAAATGGATGTAGTAAAGCTCAGTGTAAGATCTTAGGTACTGAAACCAGACTGGCTCCATCACTTTTTAACTGTTGATTTGGGGAAAGTAACATAACCTCTCGGAACATCTACCTTATGTTGGAGAGAGAAGGTTGTGAGGATTAGATAAGATAATGTGTACAAAGTATTAGACCAGTGCCTGGTACATTGTAAGCACTGATTTGTGAATGTTGGTCTATTGTTGTTATGAAGCTTTATGAAGATTTTTATTCTGTGTGACATTTAAATGCACATAATATAATTATAGCCTGAATATACTTGGACATTAATAGGCAATGTTCTAAATGACAGTTGTCTTCTCTGGCTTTGTAATAGACAGGAGAGATATTCATGATACATAACCACTTTTATATACCAAGTAATTTAATAAAAATTACTTCCTTTAGAATCTGACTCAGTCCAACTCATACCTACAAGCTTACCAAAACAGAAAAAAAAAAAAAAATGAAATTGTTAATGATTTTTCCTTTCCTATTAGGAGGAGGAAAATGATGACTTCTGAAAGTTATTGTAAGAACAATTATTAAAATAGTGATATGATTATTTATTAAAGCTATCTATATAAAACCCTCATATGCAGATAGACCAAACCACGGAACAACTGAATCACCAGTGGCTATGACATGTGCTGACCATGAGGAGGCGCGCACAAACATTGTGGGTGTTGGCCACAGTGGGACGGTGGAGCAGGTGAGTGGGAATGCTAGACCAAGGCGGTGTGCTGGTCGCTGTCATGGGGTGAGCCTCTGGTGGTTACTAAAAATTCTTTGCTCCAGAGCGCCGCAATCCCACCTGGTGCTCGCACCTGCTGCCAGTGCTGGAGCTGCCACTCGCACCTGCTGTGGGCCCTGATCGCCCTGCAGGGCTTCTCCACCTCCCCGTTCCTGAGGGGTGATTGGGGCTGGCCAGCTGCCGCTTGCACCCAGTTGGTGCTGGAACAGCCACTCGCACCTGCTGCCGGTGCCCAGCCGCTTGGCACAGTCAATGGGTGTAAGCAATGGCCGCCAGCCCCGATTATCCATGAAGGCTTCTCCACCTCCCCCCTTGCTCCTGAGGGGCGATTGGGGCAGTAGCTGCCACAGGCAACTGCTGCTGGTGCTGGCTCCAATCGCTCAGCGCTGGCCCTTATTGCTCCACGCCTTCAGTGGGTGCTAGCAGGGCTGGCATCATCAGCGTGGGGAGTGGTGATAGCAGGAGTGGGGCTGCTGGCAGACAAGGGACTGGGAGCTGTGGCAGGAGGGGCTAGGTGGGGCATGGAGGATGGGCCGAGACTTGCCCCTGTGCCCACTGAAGCCCTTCGGGCCATAGTTCCTTTCAAAGTGCATGAATTTGTGTACTGAGCCCCTAGTTAAATATAAAATGAACAAAGTAAATAATTTAAACAATAAAAATGATCCAATTAATAATTTTCTCATTGGAATATGTTAGGAAAAAATACAATAAATCCAAATGATAGTTTCAATTGTTTCATTAACCTTTGGTCACTAATCAATTAACTGAGATTTCAGTTACCAAGTAGATCTCTAAAGCAGCTGCAGTTTCTAGGCCATCTGCTTGCCAAGATTCAGTGTAGAAGAGAAGCTGACAGGCATGGTATCATCAAACTACCTTTGTTCATATATATTGCAGCCAATACCCTGCTTCAAGGCTTTGGGCATTTTGAACAGTAGATCTCCAAATGGAGAGCTGGAAATCTGTTAAATACATTTACCTGTTTTTTGCAATAATTACAATTCTAAGTTATTAAGAAAAAACTTACAATGCATTTGTCAAAGTTCCTTTTGACAGTCACCAAAACATTTCCCAATGTAGTGCTCAGAAAAGAAGCAGGGTCCACATTTTGTGCAGTCCACACATGATGACTCATTTTCACTAGCATGTAAAGGGAGTTAAAGCTATCAATTTTGTCTCCTAATGCAATTAGGTTGTTCAGTTCCGGCTCAATGCAGCGAAATATTTTAGTCATCATTTGGCGGATCATATCTTTCCTGTTCAAAAAACATAAAAAATGTAGCAAGTTGTTTTGAGCTTCAGGTATATTCATCTTTCACTTTAACCCATTGGGCATATACAAAACAACTAAAATATTACATTTTCATTAAAAATGTCTAAATATGATGAACTAAGTATTCTTCAGCAGTTTCCAATATAAAAATATTTTTTAGTTAAGTTTTATCACTCAAAATAACTATCATTTGTAAAGCTGGGATCCTGAAATGTGCTCTGTGATTTCCAAGAAATACACGGCAATTCAAATGCTGCTTCCTACCAGGAAGCATCAAAATTGGTTGTATTTTTTGTACTAAAGCCATGGTCGGCAAACTGTGGCTCTTGAGCCACATGCGGCTCTTGGGCCCCTTGAGTGTGGCTCTTCCACAAAATACCACAGCCTGGGTCAGTCTATTTTGAAGAAGTGGCATTAGAATAAGTTTAAGTTTTAAAAATTTGGCTCTCAAAAGAAATTTCAATCGTTGTACTGTTGATATTTGGCTCGGTTGAGTAATGAGTTTGCCAACCACTCTACTAGAGTAAAGAGCCACAGAGTCATACAACAAGACAGGTTTTAATTCAGTAAGACATTTAATAAGACACTGGGCATACCTGTCAGTGCTGAATGCTGTCAGGTTACTAAGCCATCAGGTTACTAAGCAGCACTCCTCTATGTTAAATTTAAAGTTTATTTTTTCCCCAAAATAATAGGTAATAATCAATACATACTCAGATGAAACGGGCAATGGTGTGCCAGAAATATGTTGCCTTGATGACGTTCCTCCATCTAGGTCATCTGCTTCAGTCTGCAAAAATTATTCAGGTATTTTATATAATAAAAGACCAACAATTTGCCTAGTTTATATAGCAAAAGCCTGCTCAGTCTTAAAATTCCTAGGAGAGAATACATTATGAAAAATAATGATTTTTAAAGATAGCATCACTGACAGAACTATATAACTTAGAATGCTACTTAAGAATGACCATGAAGGGCTTTGGTCTTACATTTTTATATGAGAATTATGGGGGAAAGTTGTGTTTATGTGCACATGAGGGGAAAGTAGGAAGACAGAAGATACAGGAGGTGGAGGGGGGAAGGTCGGAATGAGTGGGCAGCTCAACGAAAAACAGAAAACATACGGGAAGAACTTGTAACAGAGAACTAAAAGTTAATCTCATAAATCATTCTAAAAGAACTTTGGCATTTAAAAAAGCTATCAAGAATTCTTATAGAAGTTAAGATGTAAGCAAATTTACTACTACTACCACCTACAACAACAAAATCCCACCCATTTGAAATAATTTCTCATTCATTTTATATGGTGGCTCTTTAAGATGACCTTAATTTTAAAATCACTTTATTTGCATTGTGATTTTAAGTTTCTCAAAATATTCTAGCAACTATCTCATTTCATTTTCTTCTTAAATTTTTGCCACCTGAGCGACATGCTGAATAGGCATTATAATATCCATTGAACAGATGAGAAATGAGGAAATTGGGGATTAAATAATTGGTTGAAGGTCTCACAGCTAGTTAATAACAAAGCCATAGGAAAAAAGTCAGAGTTGAAGCCTCACCTTTTATTTCCCACTCCTCCCCGCCCCACATGGTATATATACTCAAACACCAAACATTTTTTAAAATTTATTTTTTTCTTGATGACTGCTAAAATCACTTTTCAAAGTATTTTTTTTTTTCAAAATAAATTCAGATATTTTATTCCCTCAATAACTTAGATAATGTTTAGGCTTAAGACAGTCTGGAGTATTAAATTATATGTGCAAAATATCACTGTTTTTATTGTCTTGTAGTATGACAAAAATTATTTTAGAAGTCCTTATATCATAAATCCATTCTTTTTCTGTTCTAATATTGAAACTGTGACAACATATTAATTAAGCTAATTATATTACAGAGCCTATATACTAGCCAATAAATAAACATAAGCCGTACCACAGTTCCAGGCATACTTTGATGTTGCTGTAGTTTGAAAAATTTACTTATGAAGTCCTGTTCTGCTAGGCACAGGGGCTCCAGTTCACTGAGTACCTGTTCAAAGATCTGAAGAAAACCAAAATAAAAGATCTGCACCAAATACTTAAAATAACATTACACATTTAATTTACTTTTCTGCAGAGACCATAAATGCTTTATCCATAATCTCAATAGAATCTCCAAAACAAACTGTTCCAAGATCGACAGGACATTGCAGTATATCAAGGCATAGTAGGGGCAAAACATACCTAAAATTAAATTCGTAATAATTATTCACTTGAAATTGGGAAAGAGAAATACAGAGACAGACTTTTAAAGCTTATTTAATGCACTGCAGAGAACAGTTTTGCTCCATAAAAGCTGCTATTTCCTCTTTGCCTTGTAGATACTTAAAGAACTTAGATTTAAGATGCAAGCATTTCATGACTTATAACAAAATTTAATAAAACTATAATGTAATTTAATTGATAGTTGACAATTTATTGGCCATTTGACTAGTATTTGTTTTTCCAGATTAAAAATAGGAAAGACATGGTTAACCAAATCTTTGAATACATTTAAAGCAATAACAGACTGCTGTTAGAAAACTAATATTAGTATTGAAGAAGTACCTGCTATTTTTATTTTACCTTATCAAATTTGGTTCTGTCCGCAACATCGAGATCAGAAGTAGACATGTTTCCCATATCCAACAAGGAAGATGACTGAGATCTGCGATTCCCTGAAGGCTGAACACTGAGTTTGTTTAGACTAGAAGTAGATCCAGTTAATTTCCCAGAACTTCCATGAAGACCTAAGAAATAATAAAACTTTGAGAGTTGTGACCTCCATGAATAAAGATCCATAGCATAAATCAGGGCCATCTGCCCGTTTTGGTTTTTGAGGGCTCATATTAGTTAGGATACAAGACTACCACATGGGACAGGTTGTGGAGTGTCCTCTTTTATTAACATTTGTGACCTATTCCTGAGCATATTGTAAAGAGCAGTGAAACTACATAGATCTATAGGAGTGAAAGACCGTAAAGATCCCTAAATCTATGTCATTCTCAGTCTCATCATAAACATAAAGTTGTTTGATGATATATCTAGACTAAAGTAGATGAGGATTTATTTCTTTCCCATTCAAAAGACATGAATATGATGGTCACTGACTCCCCCCTCTCCCTCCCGCAGTGTACTAGCTTAACATGACTGTTAAATTTCTGAAGAAAACTGCCATATTCCGCCCAGCCAGTGTGGTTAAGTGGTTGAGCACTGGCCTATGAACCAGAAGGTCACATTTCTATTCCTGGTTAGGCCCCATGCCGGCGTTGCAGGCTGGATCCCCAGTGTGGGGTGTACAGGAGGCAGCCGATCAATGATTCTCTCTCATGACTAATTTTTCTATCTCCCACCCCTCCTCCTTCCCCTGAAATAAAAAAATATATATATTAATAAAAAAATATATATTAATATATATATTAAAAGAAAAAGAAAGCTGCCATATCCCAATACTACCATCCTCCAAGTTAAATCAACATATTAGGCTATACCACATGAACTGACAATATTTGATCATTCTTGCTCTACAAAAAAGTCAATTATACAACTCAACTTAATACATTCCTGAGCCCAGAAACTCTTTTACATTAAATGAATTGATTAACTTCAGTTCTTTAAAAACAAGGAGAAACTCCCCCTTCCCCTCCCTGAAAACCTGTTATATTTAAAATACAAATATGATACATCATTAACAATATAAAGATGGGACATCTGGGCTTAAGTATAAACATAGGTATCCAACATTGTCATGAAGAAAAATTATAACAATATGGCTAGACAATATCTTACATACATAAAGGAATTAAAGAATTCCATTTTTATAAGAAAATATGATACTGTCATTCAGAGTTAAGTATAAATACATTTTTAAATTCTTCTTGAGTATCTCTCAGTGAATCTCTATTATTTACTGATGGTCAGATGAGACAAATGAAGATACAATAAGGACAATTAAAGACAAATTCTGATTTCATTATGTAAAATCTGACCACATGTAAAACAATTTTTATAGTTTCTAACCACAGCCTGAAAACAGAAATATAATGGTTAAACCTTTTTATAAATTTCTGATTACACACCATTTATTTTCAACTCTATTAGATATTCCTTTGATATAGCCACATCACTACCATCATGTTGGTTTTCTTTCACCAATGTCTGGAAATACCTCAGAGCAATCAATAGTTTAGGTGTAATTTTTTTTCAAGACAAACAACTAATTTCTAAACATTAAACAAACATGCATTGAGAATACCTACTAACACTCAGCATACTCACTCTCTGTTTCCTGTTTGACAGCACTTTCTTTTCGAGGAAGTGTAGCTGTGATGGATTAGGTTGCAAGCATCAAAGACAAAGACAAGTTAATAAACTGCAATTTGCACAAACCATGCACAAGAGGAAGTTAAGCTTTAGTTTAAAAGACACATGCAGAGAACCATGAGCATCAAGTAACAAAAGGTGCACATATGTTTAGTTGGTCAGCTACTGTTGGAAAATTATATGAAAGAAAATACTTATTTTTTTCATGTATTATTTTTACTCTAATATTCAGATAAAACTATCTATATTTGTAAAACCACTCCATACTTTTAAATGATTGTTTTAAGTTTATAAAGCTGGTATACTTAAATTTAAAAGACTATATTTACAAGTTTTGGTTTCTGAAGAAAAAATATGGTTTAAGTAAATAATTTAATGCAGTGGAAATTTATTAATATGAAGCTGTAGATTTAGACATAAAATGTACCAATAATTTCAGATCCCCTGGAAGCTACTGAAAGGAATCTCCATTGTACTAAATAATTTTACATTACATCTGATAAAAAAATGTTATGACTGGGGTTTTAAAACCATTTCAAAATATCAAGCAGCACTATTTAGTAACTGGCCTTGTGAACACCTAGAATGAAAGGTTTATATAAAAATACTACTTATCCGGAGAAGAGAGGATGGAAGGGTAAAGCTAAAGGAATTGGTTTAATACAGGAATTTTTAAACTTTTAAGGATCATTTGGTTTTATTCTAAAACTTCTGTATATATATGCATTGAGATTTATTAGATGAATTATAGAGATCATCTTGTGAAACATTCTAAATTCAAATTAGAAGTAGATATGAAAAGCAAAGAAAGAAATTACAGAATGAAACAGAAAATTAAAGAACATAATTTAGAAATATTTAAAAAACAAAAAATATGTCAACTGTCACTGCCAAACTTCAAGGCAAAAGCCCAAGTATAAGCTACTAACTTGTCATACCAGTGACATGTATATCTTCCCAGCCTTGGCTTCCTGAAGCTCAAAGGAGTATGAAACAGTAAAGCTGGACATCAAAGTGGAAAGCAAGGATCATGCTAGAGCTACTAGCTGGCCAACCTGAACAATACCCCTGGTGGCCTTAAGGTGTCACTCTACTAAGTCATCAGTTCCAAATCCTAATACTTCATATACTTTATTAAGTGGCCAATAAAGAATACAGAATTACTACTAGTGCCTATAACTATAATTTGGGGTTCATAAAAAGTTCATATTATTTATCAGAAACAAGTAAAAATCTTCAGGTAGACTTTTAAATGTATTTAAATAATCCCCTCTAGATTATAAATATCATGGGGTAGGATCTGTGCTTATGCTGCTTTCTCAGAACACAGCAGTGCTTATTATATAATAGGCAATCAATAAATACTTATTGAATTTCTAACCATTGTAAATCCAGTCTTGTATTGAAGACTTCCTTTGCAATCCATAAGATTTCTTAGTTTAGTGGAGAATCACAGAACGAAAAAATGACTTTGGCTTACCATTTTAAAGATCTGGGAATATTAAAATAACTCTGAGAGGCAGTAATTATATAAATACATATGTTAATGAATTAAATTATGTGTGTCTCTGTGTTATCTTAGCTGTAGAAAGAAAAAACTGGTGATTTTAAAAAAGAAATACTAAATTTTATCTGCCTGCCAATTCATTAAGCACGTTGTAGAATATACTAAAATATCAATCTTGGGGAGAAAATTCCAGCCCTCTAAGGATGTCAAAGTAAATCTATTAATAATAAAGGGCAATGACTTACATAAAGACCTATCACAAAGAAGATATTCTTTACTGGTATTTTAACCTAATTTTGAATTATATGAACTAAGTAGATGTTAAAGATCTGAGTCCAGACTGGTTCATAAAGAGAGTACTCCCCTGAATCTCAATGGCTATATTGACTACAGTGTACTTTGTAAAGTATATGCAATCTGCCTTTCTATTCTTATTAGCATCTATGACCTAGCATTTTCAGAGCAAATAAAAAAGAACTCATTTAAATATTATTTATTATTAATTTTGGCTCATTAAAAAGTCATCATTCTGAAATTTCAGACTTTTATCTGAATTATAATTACTATTAAAATTCATTTAAACATTATTTGAATAATTAAAAAGATATATTTAAAACCTTTACATTCTACTTTAGAACTAAGTCATTTGTATTTAACTTGAAATTTATTTTTAAATGCTGAATAACAATACTTCAAGATGGACTAAACTATTTTTGTCCTCTGAATTCTGTTTGTTTAGTATTTTCTTCTGTTATAACTGATATCAAAATAACTGAAATTATATAACTTTATAGTACCATCAACCTCCAGAAGTATTCCCCTATTCCTTATTATTTAATAGATTCATTGAAGAGATATAATTTTAAATTTTAAAACTATAAAAGTGCCTTCTACATGTGTTTTATGTTAATATAAAAATATTTAACAAGATAATTTAAGAACTTTTCAAGGGGCAAGAAATGAAAATCCTAGGTCTCAGGTTAATGCAATGATACCATTAAGCTACTATTGTACTTGGTCCTGGCTTGGTGGCTCACTTGGCTGGAGCTTCGTCCCATACACCAAAAGGCTGCAGGTCCAACTCTTGGTCAGGGCACATACCTAAGATTCAGGTTCAATCTCCAGTTAGGGCACATGTGGGAGGCAATTGACAGATGTTTGTCTCTCACATCAATATTTCTCTCGCTCTCTCTCTTGCACCCTTTCACCCTAACTCTCTCTTTAAAATCAATAAAAACATATCTTTGGGTAAAGATTTAAAAATATTTATTATTGTACTTGATTTAAATTATATTTATATTATGTCATTTATCTTAGTGTGAATTTTAGGCTTGATTATCAATTTTGATACTGGGATTAATGGCCTCTTCAGGAGTTAATTTTAAAAAGATTTCCCTTTTAATTCTAGTTTTCATATACTGTAGAAGAGTACTCTCAAAATAAAATGATTCACTAACAAGTGGTGACAGATATACTAAATGAAAACATTAAACATGTAACTACATTAATATTGTGTTTACTTAAAAAAAAGCATAACATATTCACAGTGAAACATTAACAAAGATATAAACACACTGCTGTTTAATAACAATAACCTTTAGGATGAGTTAGCATTTCTGTTTCCAAAAGCCTATTGTCCCAAGATTCTCATCAGTTTCTTTACCTAAGTGTATTTGTACACAGATTCAAACCACTTCAAAAGCCTGGACTCCTAGATTCAATATATTAGTGTTGTATTAAAAACAAGCAAACAAACAAACCATCCAGTGAATTACAAAATAATTACCCATTAAAGACAGTCTTCTCTGTCCTAAAGAAAAGAATGGAAAGATGAGCTATCAATTTCAAGTCCTGTTTCCCGATTACTGGAGTTGCTTAGGGCATAGGCTCCTTTCAACAAGCAAATGCTCAACTCATTTTTCTAAAGGGAGCTACGCAGACACACTGAGGAGTACACATTGTAGCCACTTAAGGCTAGGTTTTGACTTCATAGGCACAGAACTCCATCCAAAAGGAAACCCAGAGGTGGGTACATGCGACAGCAGAATGTGGCCTTGGCAAATCACCTTCCTCACAACTTAATACTTTCACTGGTTATCTTTTCAAATCATGTTTTGTTTTCATCCATTTAACGTATTTAGAAGCAACAACAAAAGAATAGGCTTCAAAAATATGTCTTAGAAAAATAAGGTTTAACCACAGAAGAAATTTTGGTGACATATATTTTAGCCTGTTGGCAGGAGATAAAACACAAACTTTCTTTTTTGATGCAAAATAGCCAGTGAGAAGTAAGAAGCCAGGAATCACTTTCATTTCCCTGTGGAGAGCAATGACTTAAGAAAGAGAACAGTGATTTGCACACAACTGTTAAAAACCTTTTAGGAACGCTCAACATGTGTCTCTTAGTCTAATACTTTCTCTACCAGACTAGACTGTACTTCATTTTCTGGTCAACTGCTTTTCCTATGAATATGTACTGTTAATTATAGCATACTGTAGAATTCTCACATAGGGTAGAATTTTAATTAGCAAGAAACCATTTGCAGGTACAAATATTTCTTCTATGAAATACCTATAAGGCAAACCAAATGCATCAGACTTACTCTTTCATTAATTCCACTGTGTCTTCTTTCTCCTTGCTTAAAAAGTCTTAGAATTAGACCATTTAAATAAAATAAAACCATTTTTAATAGAATAGAAATCAATGAACTGAAGTGCCTAGGCTTACCAAACTTCTTGCTTTCTTTAGTTGTGCCAGTCATCTTGATCTTTGCAACTTCAAAGAAATCTTTAATTTCTCTTTCATACAGTCGTGATAAATAATCCATGTAATTCTTAAATAAAAATAACATGTACTTTTTATTAATAAAACAAATAAAATAATTTCCATTTTTTTTAATACCCCCAAATCCTTCATGATTATTTTAAATTTTGTGGTCTAAAACTTTGATGCAGTTCACAGGATAAAAAAAAGTAGGCTATTTCCTGTCTTTAAAAAAATATTGAACATTAACAACTTATAAAAATATGAAGTGGAACATAATCACATTTTCATCTTTATATGTTAACTTTCACATTTTATTTTATTTTTTATATTTTATTGATTTTTTACAGAGAGGAAGAGAAAGGGATAGAGAGTCAGAAACATCGATAAGAGAGAATCACCAATTAGCTGCCTCTCGCCCACCTCTTACTGGGGATGTGCTCGCAACCACATTACATGCCCTTGACTGGAATCGAACCTGGGACCTTTCAGTCCACAGGCCGATGATCTATCCACTGAGCCAAACTGGTTTTGGCAACTTTCACATTTTAATACAGATATCCTATACAGTATTGGATATCTGAGTCAGAACAATCATGCTTCTCCAGTCTCATACCTTAATGACTACAAAATATTATACAGTAATAGGCTGATGTGCTACTACTTAGTAAACCAATCCCCTAACACAGGTTACTTAAGTGGTTTCAATGTTTTGCTATGACAAACAATGTTATAATAAGCTTTTCACCTCCAATGAGTTCTTTCTTTGGAATAATTTCCTAAGGTTGGAATTACAGGGCCAAATAGTATAGGAACCTTTATAACTCTTCCTCCATGCTGCCATGTTGCTTTAAAAACGGATAGTGTCAATGACACCGAAGAAGTATATTCAGTTTCATTGTGCCCTGTCAGCTTGGGTTACTCTCAATAAGAATTTAACTAGTATATCTTACAGTTTTCATAACTAAATAATTTATTTTTATAGGCAAATTTAATTTTTAGCTCAAACGAAAACATCTATTACTTAGAACACATATTCATTTCTTCATCATATTTGCCTATCATCACATACCCTCATGAAGAATTCTTCAACAGTAGGAGGCTATGTATTTTTCCAACCCCTAAGTTAAATTCCATACACAAAGTTTGACTAAATTTAAATAAACCCATAACAGAAAAATTGTACATATTCTTTTAAATTTATTGTGGAATTAAGCTTCATCTTCCTTTATTATTTCAAATTAATATATCCAATTTTACAACAGGTGTACCTTGCTTTAAATATCAGGTACACCTTTCAAAAGGTATATTATGTAAATATTTGTATACCAATTCATAGTTCACTACTGATTTTTTTTTAAAGATATTTTATAGATATATCCTTATAAAAAAGTATTTGGATGAAACATAATATAAATACTGTGTTTTATTTTTCCAATTCATAGATTATATCATGCTCATAAGTTAAACAGGCAATTCTTTCCCATGATCTTTGCAAAACTTTAATATCAAATAATAAGTGAAAATATACCCCCAAATTAATTCCTATTGGGCTTTTTCAATGGGTCATTTTTCAAGTTTAAATTCTGATAAAAATGTTGATCACTGCAAATCAGTAAATGACTGACAAATGGAAAAGTAGCTTTGCATTATTTGTAAAATCTTCATTAGTGGTTTTCTACTGAAATCAGTCAATTTGAGAGACTACATTCTGATACTTAAATTGTTTCAAGTGCACATTACTATCTAAGCAATTTAAATGGTTTCAAATAGCTATTTGTAATCTAGAAAACAGTGACTTCAGCAGACTATTGCAAATCACTCCCTTTTTCAATAGGATGCAAATGACTGGATACCTTTTTCCCAGGTACTCAAAATGGAACTCACTGGAGGTCAAAGTCACAGGTGTGACTATCAGTTAATTCATTCATTTACCAAATTCTGAAAGATGTATCTCACTGTGAGTATGTACTCCTTCTCTTAGCACCTTATAACACCTAACTGAAATTTAACTATCATGAATTTAAATCTCATCTCACACCATCTTTTCAATTTATTTTGGGCTGACTGTAGAGTCTATGGAGACCTCCATGTTTTATTTTTTCTTTAAACAAAAAGGTAAATTCCACAAAACTTCAAAAGGTCAAAGGAAGGTGTCTGAGTAGTCTTCAAGACTATCAACCTCAGGAAGTTAATTAGGAGAGGAAAGCTCATTTTCTTACCCAAGCATGGATGGACTGTTTCTATTTATCGCCCTACATGCAAAACCAGTCAGAGAAAGGGGTCGTTGTATTGGGAGAAAGAAATCTGGGCAATTGAGCTCATTACATGATGAAGACACCCCTGTTTTACACAGGCTCCAATTGTATATAACAAAAGTCAAGGCTTTTCTTAGATTCAGCCAAAGCAAAGCTGAGGCAGTACCTCGTGATTCTTACCCCTAAAGAATATGAAACAGGCTTTTCCTGTTCCCACCAAAAATTATGAGCCTTATCCACCAAACTAAGTGCAAATAGTATCTGGGTTTATTTATTTTTCTTAGTAAAGAAACATTGGTTTGTATGTTTCCTTTCTTCTTCTTCCATTCTTTCCTCCCATTTTTTCCTTTTTAATAAAATACCTGTTTTTGACAACACTTCAGCAACCAAATTAGATTATGAGGTAAAATTCACAGTCTGTCAAGAGTTCAAACCACAGGATCAAGTAACAATCTTGGGAAATAAGTCAATTTCATTTAAAAACAAACAAACACACACCTCATTAATATTGTCAATTAAAATATACTGTGAGCAGAGAAACATCCTATAAATCATCACTAGGTTGGCTACAGTCTTATTTCTTCACGTTAAATTACATTCATGAATAATGCATTATATATAAAGACAGGGCAATAATATTCACTGAGAACACAATTAGGCAAAAAGCTTATTGATTACTTATTTGAATATTCACTAGGGGACAAAACACTTGTTGGCAAAAAAACTCTTAAGGAAATATAATAATGTTTAATTATTCAAAATATTAATCCTCTTAAAACTTCAAAAGGCAAAAAATTCCAGTAATGTAAATATTTTTCTTTAAGATAGTTCCAAATCAGAATTCTGTTGAGTGAAAACAAAACAAAACAAATATATAACAGAACAGTAAAGTTGCATAATACTTACTCTGAGGAACAATAACAATCTTAACTAAAATGACTAGCCAGTAAAATACATGTGAACACCTTATGATATATACATATATATGTTCTTTTTTAGAAGTATTTTTTAAATTTAAATTTAAAAATATTTTCACTAATGTTTATGTCCAATTTCTTATGATCAGTTAAGAAAAAGATGGAGCCAGATTTGGGGAGACATACATAATAATGTCCTATTACCAAATATGTTGATATCAATATGTTGATAAGAATGTACAATCTGTCTTTTTCTTACCATCACATTTCTCATAAATTTCTACCTAACCCTCGCCTTCTTATGAAACATGAACCAATGATACTGGATAAGAATTGCAATAATTATTTCAGTAAATATAAGGATAAAATGGGTTCATGCAAAAACATTAATTATCTGAGAGAGAATAATCTTTGCTTATGAAATATTCTGAAAGAAAGCCAACTAGAAAAAATTTTGCTAGCAAAACTAGTAAAAAATAAGGTTAATTTGCTCTCTAAATTATTTGTTAGAAAGTTTTTCTTCACAAGCACATGTGAAAGGTAGAGGGGGAAAAACCTTTATATTAACAATTCCAATATTCTCACTCTGCAGAGACAAAAGATATCATTCATTTCAATTCACGAATATCTTTGAATATCTTATTGCCAAAATAATTAAATTATTACTAGTTATTAAAATAGCTTATATGTTACTTGGATTTTTGTTTTTAAACTTCAAATTCTTAAAAACTTACACATAAAATATTCTAAATGTTTTTCAGAGTACTGCAGAATTCTAACTCAACTATTTTGATATGAAATACAGAAATATAGATATTTAAATATTTGCATTAGATAACGGTTCTTTACCTCCCTAACGACAAGTTCAAATCCAATATTAAAGGTCACAGTATAAGTGCCAAAAAAGTATTGTACCTATGGCCTTTTGCTACAATGGCCATCTATTAAATCTAAGTCAGATCATGTGTTCCACTGCTCAAAACCCACTAACACCCTCTTCCCAAAAAATCCCTCACTGTAAAAGCCAATTTCTTATAATGGTGCATAGTCCCTTCCAATTAACCCTACCCCACCCCGCCTTACCTCCCCCACCTGCCCTCTAAGGTCCTTTCCCCTGCTCGCTGTACTCCACCCACTGGCCTCCTTACTGATCCTCAAGTGCACGGGCAGGCTCCTTTGAGCACTCGCACTATGAGTAGAAAGCATCCAGTAACTCCCACTGCTCGCCCCTGCTTACTTATCAATCTGCTCAAATGTCACCTTCTCATGACACCTTCTCTGACCATCAATTTGAAACTATAACTTTCCCCCACTCCTGGCACTCTCTGCTTCATTTTTTCCCAAAGCACTCAGCAGCATCTTTTAACATGGTTTATAATTGACATTTCTGTCAGTCCTTCTCCATCAGAATGTGCACTCTCAAATGGCAAGCATTTGCCTGCTTCCTTCAGTGCTGCATTTCTAGTACTTAGAACAGTGTTAGTTTACATATGACAGGTGCTCAGTTCATTTGCTGAATGAACATGGGTGAATGACTCTTATCATCCCCAAAGGCTGACTTTCAGTCAGTGAGATGTACCATTGCCTTCTAATCTCTAAGCTTAGCAATTTGCATCATCCTGCCCTTCCTTGTCTCTGGAGTCTCCCTTTTGGTTTATTTTCTCTCTCTATTCCTACCAAGATCTTCCTGGTTCAAGATTTCATTTCAATTCCTGCTTCAGTCAGGTTTGCTTCCTCACTGTCCTGGGAAAGGGACATTTTCCTAGCTTTGTCCAGACATCTTGCTCCTCACGCCTGGAATGCCCTTCCTCTTATTTCTGGCTTATTTAATCACACTCATTATTTAAAACTCAATTCAAGTTCAATGTCTTTCATAAAGTTTCCCCCCCCCACCCCAGTTTCATGTCACGGATTTCCCTTCTCTAAACTGTCAAATATTCAAATTCATTTCCAGTTTTGAACTTAATTTTTTTGCTGACTGTTTTCAGTGTAATTGCGTTTCCTAGTCAGACTTAAAGCTCTTTAGAAGTAAACACCTGTTTGTTAGGCCTGGCATAGTGAAATGCTTGCTTAATAAAGAGGTACTCTGCACCTGTTTAATAGAACAGATTAAAAATTCTTAAACGGTGAATGCCTCACTCACACATCTTCATGCTCTCAAGTTTTTATATTTCACATAAAAAATCAGGAAATAATTATAGCATTTAACTAAACGGAATGATGCCTCAGACTACATATAGTATGGTCTAATACTATATTATATTGAAATTTAAAATTTAGCTCTTCTTGCCGAAGCCGGTTTGGCTCAATGGATAGAGCTTTGGTCTGCGGACTGGAGGGTCCCGGGTTCGATTCCAGTCAAGGGCTTGTATTATACCTTGGTTGCAGGCACATCCCCAGTAGGGAATGTGCAAGAGGCAGCTGATCGATGATTCTCTCTCACTGATGTTTCTAACTCTATCCCTCTCTCTTCCTCTCTGTAAAAAAATCAATAAAATATATTAAAAAATAATTAAATTTAGCTCTTCTTTATCCAGGTAAATAAATGTTTTCCTTCATTAGTGAGCACTCAGAAACTTAATTATTTTCTGCTTTGCTAAGAATGTACTGGAGTATTTCAAATGTCACTTGGGGAACTGAATACATAAACTCTAATTCGAAAAGATTATGCTCTATACTCAGTGATGTCAAATCGATCAAATCCATACCTTTGTCAGTCCCTCATATTTTCCGTAATCTGTACTCTTCAGCCACTCCATCAGCTTGGCATATCGGAGCAAGTCTCTATGAAATGGATGATGATTGGGTAAAGTCAGTTCAATAGAGTGTTGAGCAAGAGTTGAACTCTGATCATGACCCTAGAGTGAGTGAAGTAAATAAATAAATAAATAAATAAATAAATAAATAATCATTGATAGTATAAAGAAACATTGTTGTAACCGAAAATTCTAAGCAATGACCAAATGTGGATAAGCAAAGCCAACAGAATACAGAAAAATAACTGAGTACTTACTTCCTCTTTTATCATCCTGTGTATATCAACCGAACATCACCACCATAAAATAATCATAAACAATCAAGAATGGCACTTTGATAAATCAACTACTCATTTCATATTCTAAAGGAGTCGAAAATGAATGTGTTGATGAAGTTTATCTCTTCCATATCATTTTACAATTTACTAAGCAAATAAACATCATGATACAAACTATATTAAGAAACATACAAAATAAGAAAGTAATTTAAAACAAATTATCTACATAGGTAGTACATATGGAATATAGAATTTTAGAACTAAGAAAGACTATAGGTGACTATATCTTGGGCTTTCCAGGATAACCACTAATGAATTAAAAATAAAAATAATAGAATTTTGAATTCTATTATTTAAAAATAATAGAATTAATGAATTAAAATTAAAATAATAGAATTTTAATTTTTCTATTAATTTGTTAAATAAGTAACTACACTATTTTATTTTTAAACCTTGATAAGACTTATATAAGTAAATTAAACTGCCTTAGACAGATGATGTATCCTGATTTTTGTTTTAGAAAATATAGTCCTGGTAGAATATATAATTCAATAACCTTACTTTCTAGAAGAACAAATTAAAACTCAGTGGTAAGTCATTTGCTCAGGTTACATAGAAGGAAAGCTAGAACTGGAATCTCAGTCATGTGAGTTGCACTTCTATTTCCTTTTAAAAACATGTCTTAAACCTCATTAGTACTTACATATATGTATACTATGTATATGTAGTTACCAATTAGCAATTTAATATACACATTGCTATAGAGCTTTAAGTACATTAACCTCCTTACAAGCATCACAATCTCCATTTGTGATGGAGGCTGGGAGCTACTTCTTATTCTTACATATGGACTATATTGTGTACGTAATGGGCACACAATGAAAAATAGACAAAGAAATGTACCATAATGAGGTAATCAAATTTTCCCAACTAGTTTATCCCACAACCAGGAATAGAAATATCCAGGTTTCCAGACTCTTCTGCTAGTTGACCTGATGCACTGAATTCAACACATAGAAAATCTATTTTCTGTACTTGACACATCATCTTCCACCTTCTTCAGCATATCCGAGGGTTTGGCAACATTGTGGTTTTTAACATGCATCATTCACATGTAACAATATATGTTAGATTTTCAGAACTGCGAAGCATTCATTTTAAACAAGCCATTAGTTTATATGGCAAAGCAGCAAAAAAATAAATGTTTGATTGTTACAACAAACAATTAAGGGTGCAGAAAGAACTATTGTTTATGAACTGGTACTTCCAATACCATTGACAAATGAGGATAATATCATTGTCATTTTTAAAAACTAAGGAATCGTGTGGTTATAGATATTACTGAAATTATTCTGTAAGAAAAATGTGAATTAGTATTTCTTATGTAACCTAGATTTACTTTTTTTCTCAACACTTTTTAAGTTAAGTGAAATGTTAAGGGTCTTTTTCGACTTCCCCCTCACATGCTTAGATCATCTTCTTTTATGCTCCCATATAGTTATTATCATAACATTTATCCTTCCTGAGTATCTATCTCCCTTCCCTAGACTGTTAGCTATTTGACGGCAGGATCAGCTGCTCATCTATCCCAAATAAATGTCTGGTATGAATTTCAATCACCTGGCAAATGATTTCTAAATAAATGAGTGAGTGAGTGAAAGAATGATAGAAGAAAGGCAAGCAGAATGAGATTAAATGCCTTTTTGGCCAAAATAAACTTTCACTAGGGACATTAAAAAATGGCTACAAATATGGTTAACAGGTAGCTTAAATCAGCAAGTTATAATCTATAAAGATTCTGTGGCTGTTAAATTTAGCAAACTTTATAGAAAAATAAAAATAATCAGAGAAGCTTTAGCCAAATTTGATGTACTCACATCACAGGCACCGAAAGAAAGGAGGACCTATTATAGTTTGGAAATAAGTGAAGGAGAACCTGAGTAAACTAATCAGAAATAAAATATATAGTAAATCAATTGAAAACAAGATAAGAATCCAATGTTTCAGACAGCATTTCTTAATGAACAAAATTTCCCACAACTGCTTTTACCCAATAACCCTAATAAAACAGATAAAAAACATAAGAAACCTAGCTTACTATATCAGATATTAAAATGCCTTTTATCAAATCCCTCTAATGTACTCTAATATTATTAATATTAATATTATTGCCACAAGTTTAATTATAACATCCTTTTCCATGTAAAAATGTAAACAAATGACTTATGTGAGATTAAATCAACTGGGACTTACAATTGCGCTATAGTCATTTTTCTCATGTAAATAAATACACAGAGCCAATGAAACATTTCATACACTTAATCAAATCCTGGTTCTTACTTCAAAATATTGAAAAATAAAATAGGCCAAACAGTAAACATGTAACAAGTTTGGACTTAGTATCTTAATGGTATATGAAGTAAGAAAGCATATATAGTTATATGATTTCTAGAATCAGAGAAGTTTAGTTAAAGGAACCAACAGAGGCAGTTGAGGTGCTAAATACATCTATGAGCAAATATGCATGTAATTAAAAATCTTAAAATCAAATAAATGTGTGAAGACTATGCTGAGATCCCACTGAAATACAATTTTTTTTGTAGGGATTTAAATTTAAGGTAATATATAAACAACTACAAGAATATGCCAGTATTAACAATAAATTAAAATTACCTGTTGAACGAAAACATTGTTGAGGTGACTGGCCAATCTCCGGGCAAAATGCTCTCGCAAATCACTGAAGCGCTGCTGCTGCTGTTTGACTGCCAGGAGCATGTCATGGCCTGAAATCAGATTATTTCTTATTGTTTTAATGGGTAGAAAGATTTCCCCGATGTTTCATGGGTATATTTATAAAAGTATCCATATTTCAGTTTTGAAGAACCCAAAGATTCACTGGTTTGCTTTTTTTTTTTTTTAAAGGTAAGGGGAAGAATCGTATAGCACAGTTCTCAAAGAGTGGTATTTCCTCAGCATCTTTAGAAATGTGGATTCTAAGGTCTCAGCCCAGTCATACTGAATCTGGAAGTGGGGGCTGGCAATCTGTATTTTAACCAGCCTTCTAGTTGATTTGGATGCAAAGTCAAGTTTTGGAATCACTGGTCTAGCAACACTTTATGATCTCTGGTCCAACCAAAGCATCTACTTTGTGCCAGGTCCTGCGGACTGTACTGAAGTAAAGTCATGGTGTTAACTTGGATCACTGATGGAAGTAACTGAAATGAAAAAGTTCTTAGTGCCAAAGGAAAAATATGTTTGGAAATAAGTGAAACTTGTTTCAATAGTTAGTCACGTAACCGTAAACCACTTGCCCCATGTATTTCTCGTCAAAAGTGTTTTGTTAAGTTACAAACTAATTGCTGATCCTTGGTCACATTTACCATTTCCAATGAACAAACCTGGTCGAAGAGCTACATTCATGCACTGCAGAAGGGCATCGGCGGCATTGGTGCAGGCCTCAATGCCTCTAGAAGAAGCAAGATCTCCTTCCTGAAGGGCCTTTATATGACCTTTGGCCAAGTCCATATGGTTCTGGAATATATGTAAACACAACATTTGCACGTGCAGTTTTGGGAAATTCACAGGTAACTGGCTACTCATTCTTATCACTAGGACTTGTAATTATTTTAAACCTTGCTCTCATAAGAAAATTAGAAAAATGCTTACAAGTGGGTTTTACATATTATCCATTATATTTTTTATTTTATTTATTTTTTGCTGTTGGTAATTTATAACCACACTTACCACAAGGAACTCTATCTCAGACAGGAGTTTTACATTATTAGTGTTACTAAGGTGAATTAGGTGGTTGCTTTCAGAGATCTGGTCCATTTGTTCTTTCACACTTTGGAGCATTTCCTCATAACTGCTGAGTTTAAATTCAATCTGATCTACCTCCTGTAGAGCCTCATCCAAAAGCTTCATCAGGATGTTCACTTGTTTTTCAGAGGCCATGATTGACTGGATGTTAGCCTGCAAAGTTAAAAACAAAAGTAACATTGTATAGTACTTAAATGTATAAAAGAATTATAAAGATGAAACTGTGACAAATCTCTTTGACAGTAAAGTAACAAAGACTGGAATGTATATATACACACATCTACTTTGGTTCATCATTATGTTTATACTAAAGGCATGTTGCATGAAATTTGTGCATAGGGAGTGTGTGTGTCCCTCAGCCCAGCCTGTACCTTCTCCAATCTATCTGGGACATCCCTTTCACAATCCATGGCCGCAACCATCTTGGTTGGGTTAATTTGCATACTCATTCCTGATGGGCTGGTGGGCGGTATTTGTGGGTATAGCGGAGATAGTCAATTTGCATATTACTAGTTTATTAGATAGGACTAGAGGCCCGGTGCACAAAATTGGTACACGAGGGTGGGGGTGGGGGGTGGGGGTTGTCCCTCAGCCCAGCCTGCACTCTCCAATCTGGGACCCCTTGAGGGATGTCCGACTGCCTGTTTAGATATCCAGTGGGATCGAGCCTAAATGGACAGTCGAACATCCCTCTCACAATACAGGACTGCTGGCTCCCAACTACTTGCCTGCCTGCCTTCCTGACTGCCCCTAACCGCTTCTGCCTGTCAGCCTGACCACCCCCTAACCACTCCCATGTCAACCTGATTGATGTCTAACTGCTTCCCTGCCAGCCTGTTTGCTCCCAACTTTCCTCCTCTGCCAGTCTGGTCACCCCTAAATGCCCTCCCCTGCAAGGTTGGTCGCCTCCAACTGCCTTCCCTTATAGGCCTGGTCTCTCTCAACTGCCCTCCCCTGCTGGCCATCTTGTGGTGGCCATCTTGAGTCCACATGGGGGCAGGATCTTTGACCACATGGAGGCAGCCATAGTGTGTGTTGGAGTGATGGTCAATCTGCATACTACTCTTTCATTAGATAGGATAGAGACCTGGTGCATGGGTTGGGGGCCAGCTGGTTTGCCCTGAAAGGTGTCCCGGATCAGAGTGCGAGTTCCCTTGGGGTGTGAGGTGGCCTTAGCAAGGGGCCTGTGGTGGTTTGCAGGCCAGCCATGACCCCTGGTGACCCAAGTGGAGGCCCTGGCATCTGGAATTTATTTACCTTCTATAATTGAAACTTCATAGCCTGGAACGGAGCCGAGCCTCCTGCTTGCTCGGTGGTGGCAACCATTTCTGTTTGGTTTCTATAATTGAAACTTTCTATAATTGAAACTTTGAAGCCTTGAGTGGAGGCTTAGGCCGGCCAGGCAGGCGGAAAGCTTTGCTTCCTCTATTGCCTGGGAAACCCAAGCCTCCCTCCTGCTCTCTGTGGTCGCAGCCATCTTGGTTGGGTTTATCTGCATACTCGCTCTGATTGGCTACTGGGCGTGTCTGGTGGGCATGACTTCTAGGTGTAGTGGAGATATGGTCAATTTGCTTATTACGCTTTTATTAGGTAGGATTCCACTTTTTTTAAAATCCTCACTTGAGGAGTGAAGGTATTTTTTTCTATTGATTTTTAGAGAATGGAAGGGAATGGGGGAGGAGGAGAAAAACATCGATGTGAGAGAGACATATTGAAATGGCTGTCTCCTACACGTGCCCTGGCCTAGGGCGGGGGTTGAACCTGCAACAAGGTACGTGCCCTTGACTTGGAATCGAACTCTTGACCCTCTGGTGCTCAGGCTGACACTCTAATCATTGAGCAATGCTGGCCAGGGCTATGTTCTTTTTACATAGCATTTCAAGAAGATACACTTGCATCTATGTCAAGGTTAGGGGCCAGGTCTCAGTATTTTATATTTTCACAGACTGTACAAGTATATTTCTGCCCCATTATATACTAGAGGCCTGATGCATGAAAGTTGTGCAAGAGTAGGCCCTCCTTCCCCTGGCTGCTGGCACTATCTTCCCACTGGCACCTGGGACCCAGGCTTCCCTTACAGCCCTGCTTCATCTGGAAGGTCATCTGGAAGAGCGTCTGGTCTAATCAGCATATTATGCTTTTATTATTATAGATTACTAATGGTATATTCTCATTTCTTTAAATTAAGTGGCCAAAGACTATGTCACCTCCAACATTTCTTCCAATTCTATTAGCTATAGGAATTTTCTATATTTAACATTTATGTAAAATCTTAAACAAAAGCATAATCACCTATATAACACCTTAGGCAAGAGGCTAGCAGTGGTATACCAATCTCTGAGGTTGCATGGAACTAATTTATATCTGTAGTACAATTTGTACTATAGGATGTGGAAGAGCATATAGCCATAAGAAAGTTCCTTTTATGGTCTTTTCTCTTTTTTTGTTGTTTGTAACTACATATTTTTTCTAGGCAAAGTAGTAACAAACCACATTATCACTGTTTTCTAAATGTTTCTGATTACTGTTTTAATTCCCTGAAATATAGAAGTTGCCAAATCTAAAATTAAATTGCAAAGAAATATGATGACTTAGTACATATGTATATGCAATATTAATTAGAAAATATAAACCACTAAGCCACATTAAAAAGGCAGGTAACATGTTATGAGGAAAAATCTTGGTCAAGGAATAAAATGTTAAAATATTAAAATCCTTTAATTCTTAAAATATTCCTTATTCTCTGAAGGTTTTTCTTAAAATGTTTACCTTGTCTAAACAAAACAAAAAACTCCAAGTGTTCATATTAGATTTTTTTCACATCACCAATGCTCCTTTTAGCTCTCTACTTTCTAAAGGTGTGCATTTATATATAGACTCAGAAACTGTGTATACAAGTTAAAGGATCTATTCCAAAACATTTCAGCAGAGGAGTCAAACATCCTTTCCACTGACTCTCCTGTTTTTCACAACACTTATTCTGCTCCCTTATGGTAAATGATTCCCTTATTTCAGCCCAATTTCTCTCTAATTTGTTATCTTCACCCCCCCCCCCCCCACACACACACACATACACACACATACACACACATCCCCAGCCACAGCCACAAAAATGCTATTCTTTTGCACTGAACTATTCTGAGATGTTTCAGAGGCTGGGTAAATTAACTCCTAAGGGGTTTCTGGCTGGCTGCTTCATTTCATATCAAAAACCTCTCAAAATTCATACCTTAGCCAACTGCCTTCACTGGCCTAACAGGCAGGAATGGTTCTGACATTTGATCAAGAACAGTAAAAGACTGATGGCAGCAGGTAATAAAGACAGCAATAAGCACACAGGAGGTAGTAAAATGGGATTACCACTAGTCTTTGCAATCCACTACACATCACTAATCATAGATTACAGATAGTCTTACCCCATCTAGCACCTGCAGCTCTCTGGACAACCTTTCAGCAAAGGCCTCAGCATTAGAAATTGCATATTCACAGCCTTCCATTATTATTTCAATATCCTGCTCTTCTCGAGCATTTAACTCTTGGTATTCATCTACTGCTTCTTCATCACCTCCTGCCACACTCTGGTTTTCTCCACTTGGAACAGATTCTTAAAGAAGGTAAAAATTAAAATAGTAAAAAAGTAGAAAGGACAGTAACATGGTACTTATAGGTAAGGTAAACTATAAACACAGGTCACATTTAGTGGCTGAAAAATAGGAAAGTGGTCACATTCAGTGGCTGAAAAATAGGAAAGTGATTCAAAATAGATGAAAAATGTATTTTTATAAAAAAATGGCACCTGTTAATATGTTTATTATTAAAAAACAAACATGCAGTCTAATTCACTGACTTGTGTTAAAATAGGCTTTAATCCCAATTTCCCCAAGCACAATTAAACTAAAAATCAAAAACAAAACACATGAAACAAGCCTAGCCTTTTTTTTTATCCTGCCTGATGTGCTTGTTGCTTAAACAAAACAATTAAAAATTTAGGGCACAAGAAAACAATTTGCTTTCCTTTTTATCCAGGTAACATTTTTCTTGTTATTTTTGTTCTTTTCGCCTTTGTAATAATGTTTTCTTTTTTTTCAGTAACTTTTAATTGAAATGAAAAAATGCATCATCTACAATTCACAATTTATTTTGGGCACTGAAAATATTATCTGAAATTTCCATTTCTTTAAAAAAAGTTTCACATGCATTGATGAAATTTCTAAAGATCAGCTATCGAAGATTTCTCAACAATTCTATAATGAAAAGAGCAACAATAACATGGCTGTTTAAAATTACAGAAATTTGCCGAAGCCGGTTTGGCTCAGTGGATAGAGCGTCGGTCTGTGGACTGAAAGGTCACGGGTTCGATTCCGGTCAAGGGCATGTACATTGGTTGCGGGCACATCCCCAGTAGGAAGTGTGCAAGAGGCAGCTGGTCGATGTTTCTCTCTCATCGACGTTTCTAGCTCTCTATCTCTCTCCCTTCCTCTCTGTAAAAAATCAATAAAATATATTTAAAAAAAATAAATAAATAAAATAAAATTACAGAAATTTGCTGAAGCTGGTTTGGCTCAGTGGTAGAGCGTCGGTCTGCGGACTGAAAGGTCCCAGGTTCGATTCCGGTCAAGGGCATGTAAATTGGTTGCGGGCACATCCCCAATAGGGGGTGTGCAAGAGGCAGCTGGTCGATGTTTCTCTCTCATCGACGTTTCTAGCTCTCTATCTCTCTCCCTTCCTCCTCTCTGTGAAATATCAATAAAATATATTTTAAAAAATAAATAAATAAATAAAATTACAGAAATTTACATGGGTTCTTATGCTTCATAACAAAAGACCAAGAGATCAAATCTGAGGTGCTTTCTAGATAAATGTTTCAGTTCAATTTTTTGAATACACTTAGCATATGAGATTTGATATAAAACTTGAGGTTAAAAGAGGTTAAAAATAATTTTTATTCCCAAAATAAATCTCTATTAAATAAAGTTACTAATTTTCATAAACTTAATGGGACACGATTTCAATCACAAACACTGGATGCTTTAAATATACATTATTTTCTATGAAAATATTTACATTCAGTATGACTTGACATGTTAATTCATCCTAGAACAAAAAACAGTTATTTCTAAGTGACAAAGAACTCTTAAGAAATGATAATTAGGCACATTTAGCTAATATGAGACAAAAAAAAAGGAAACTAAAACATTTAAAAATTGCAGATTACAGTATATAAATATAAGTTCTTTAGAGAGGCATCACCAAGCTCCTTGTTCTTTGAATGAGTTCATTTTAGCTCACGGTGAAAATGTTAAACTGTCATGTGTGACAGCTTATGAGCCACCAGGGAACAGGGACTGCCCCAAACATTCTGTATAGCTCTTTACACAAGTAGATATGTCAGATAAACAAACACTAAAAAATAAAATAAACAAACACTTTAAAAGTTCATAACTGTTTCAGAAGTATTTTATCTCCCATGAAACAGTTCTTTGGAAATTAATAGTTAATAGTATCATTAATTTTATGACCGTATGGATTTTGCAGTAATAAACGTTTCCCTGAACACAATTTCATAAAATATGCAACCAATAGTACATAACAATGGCAAGTAATAAAAATATACAGAATAGAATAAGAAGAAAAGGTGTTACGCACCTTCTGTAACTTTAGGCAGTTCTGGAGAGTAAAAAGGTATGAAAAAAGCAGAGGAAAGTAAGCAAAGAATATTAGCTGGGTAGAAAAGTATACAGGCTTAAATATTTAAAATACTACCCATATTTCATTCATGCTAAATCAAGGTTTAAAAGACAATGTCAAAATTAATTACAAAGTGGAAAAGTCCATAAGAAGCTACATTTCCAGAGTTTATTTTTCTTATTCATTTTCAGACAGTTACTAAAAATACATTTATCTTTCTATTTTTTCTTAGTTTTTTAAGAAACACTATGGACTAGTCCTTGTAGGAGAAAACCGGGAAACAGATCACTTTCTGCGGATTATTTTTGGGTCAGTTGTGACTCATGCATTTAGTCAAGTTATTTTCACTCAAGGACCAAAGCTTTCTTTACCAGGACTGACACACCCTCACAATGGATTAGTCATAAAACACTGTTAAAAGGACAAATTTGAAGCAATTAAAAAACACATAAGATATCAGTTTGAACTGGCATTTAAGGATTCAACTCAAAAATTAAAAAAACAAATAAACCTGGTTACAAAATGAAAAAGAAAAGGCCAACTAAATACTTTACTTCAACTGTTAACAAAGTCCTCTTTTAAAAATTATATTCTGCTGAGAATAAAAACTACTAAGTCACCACTGCTAACATTCACAATGAACCATCTTACTTTCTTGAATGATTATCTCTTAAAAGGAGATGGTGATCATTTGTTTTCTAACTTCATTCAAAGATTAGAGACATCTAATTTTCTTTTTAAAGGGAATTAATGGCTATGATTTTAAAGTCTAGTAAAACATTAAAACAGGTTTGTAAACTGAACTCCACTAAGCCAGCACAATGCTTATTTGATTTATAGAAAGTGATTTTCAAAATGAGATCCTTAAAGATCTTCTCTCAGTATTCTTAAAATTGATCTCAATTTGGGTTAATATTTATAAAAATAAAAACGTCTACACCTTTGTTTTAGGCCCCGAAAAATTAAACTTTTTTTTTTTTTTTAAGATAGAAACTTCATTCTCAATAACAGTAATCTCATTATTAATTTTGATAATATTTCTTAATGAGGTAAATAAAGGCCAGGTATATATTTTCCCATATTGTTGACTTCATAAAATGTATTGATTTAAAATACATGTTAGGCAATAAATAACATCTGGAGATAAGTAATATTTGAAAAGAGGACAGAAGCTTTGAAATCACTTTAACAGAATGTTCAACCTTGAAATTTAAAAATAAATAGATAAATAAATAAGTAAATAAATGCCAGTTAAAATTAAACCACTATTTAAGGCATGAAAAACTACCAAACAGATTTTGAAGGTCATTCCCTCAACACACTCTATCACCAAGACACTGGAGTCTGATGGTGAAAGGGCAACCTTGCAGGCTCCTCCAGAGGCCAGCTTTACTGGGGGGAGGAGCACAAGGCCTAACTCGCAAGTTCTAAGCATTAAGCCTGAAACCAGCAATGGGCTCCCTAATTTGTAACTGATGAGAAAGAATATTACATGTAAGGAGAGCAAAACCCATGGCCAAACAAAAAGAGTAAGTAAAACAACATAGAGAAAAGACAGATACAAGTGACTAAGAAGAGGAATTGTTTGAGGCGTCTGAAACTGCTATTTTTATAGGTCAGATTGGATGAATATTGGCAATTTCAAATGTTGACAAAATAGAAGATTCTATTTTTAAATATTAATATACAACTTAGGACAAATCTAATTTTTTCCTCAATAAAGAGGAACAACACTCTGTTCTTTCAACTCCTTTTTCTGAGATAAAGAATATAACAAATTGCATCTACAAGGCATACAGAACCATTTTCTTACAATGTTATATCTTTAAGACAGTTTAAAAGAATAAATCTCATATATTTTCAAATGATTAACAAGTTATATTATTTGAAAGTTTAAAAGAATAAATCTCATATATTTTCAAATAATTAATAAGTAGCGTTTTTGTCCTCCCCTGATGCACAAATTTCATGCACCAAGGCTCTAGTGTTCATATATTAAGTAATTTAATCCTCACAACAATCCTATGGGGTAAATACTTTTGTTACCTCTATTTCTGAGATACGGGAAACTGAAACACAGAATAATCTAAGACATACAACTAAGTAAGTGTCAAAGCCAGGATTTGAACCCAGGCAATCTCCCTCCAGAGTTGTATTTTTAACCATTACAACTATATACCTATACTCTGCACAAAATTACAGCTACAAAGATATCCATTTTAGAATTTTTTAAAATAAGCAAAGATTGGTCCAGCCGGTGTGGCTCAGTGGTTGAGTGCCCATCTATGAATCGGGAGGCAGGTTGATTGTAGGTTGGGGAATGTGCCCAGGTTGTGGGCTCTATTCCCAGTGTGGGGCATGCAGGAGGCAGCCAATCAGTGATTCTCTCTCATTGTTGATGTTTCTATCTCTCTCCTCTCTTCCTCTCTGAAATCAATAAAAACATATATTTAAAAAAAAGCAAATATTGGAAAATTAAAAGTAAATGACTAAATAAATTATAGCATACCCATATAATGGAATAATATGGTGCCATTATAAATAAGGTTGGGTAAGTATTTAATAACATGGAAAATGTTGATGATACGTTATATGAAAAAGCAAGTTACGAAACAATGCAAATTTCTTTATTTGAAAAAGTATTTATGTATAGACTAGAAGAATTCTAACAAAATGTTATCTCTGAGGATTAAGTTTATGTGATTTTCATTTATTTAATTTAATGTATCAATTATCTATAATGGTCCTATAATGAACATTCACTTCTGCAATAAAAATTATCTTTAAATTCTTTTTTAAAAAAAATATTTTATTGATTTTTTTACAGAGAGGAAGAGAGGGATAGAGAGTTAGAAACATCGATGAGAGAGAATCATTGATCAGCCACCTCCTGCACACCCTTCACCAGGGATGTGCCCGCAACTAAGGTACATGCCCTTGACCGGAATTGAACCTGGAACCCTTCAGTCCACAGGCCGACGCTCTATCCACTGAGCCAAACCGGTTTCGGCTGACTTTAAATTCTTTTACAAAAAAGGCAACTCAGTATTCTAATTACTTTGAATAATATCAAATTATATATTCAGTTATAGATACAACTGATTTCACACGGACATTTTTATTTAACTTTACCTTCCAAAAGCTGTGAACTGACATTGACAAAATCAATTTTCTTCCGGAGATAGCGTTGATTCAATTTCCAAATGCATGAAATAAATGCATTCTTTTCAGCAGTGCTGCTGGCAACCCATTTATATATTTTTTCAAAATGTAAATCAAATTCAGGATTTTCCTGAAATAAAAATATACAAGATATTGTTTTTGATCATATTCCATTTTCATTACTGTAAAATGTACATTTCAATAAAACAAAAAGAAGTTGAAGCTGTTCTTGGAAAAAAAAAAATCACCATTAAAAATCGCTAAGTGACCTGTAGAGAATGGCTCAGAGAATTCAATTTAGAGCAAAAACATTATTTACCTTCAAAAAGAAGCTAGACTAAAAACAACATAGTGTTTTGGTAATTTTCTTCCTATCTCCCTGAAGTCTATGAGTAAAAGTATAGGATGTCTAGTTAATGGCTTTGTGTCTCAGCTTCCTAATCTGCAAAATTACAATTGTCTCTAGCTTTGATGCAGACCTAATTTTTCTTTTTAAATTGCCTATGGGGATTTAGTTTCACCTCTTCTTTGATAATGTACTTTATTCATAACTTTGTTTGACACTATTTCCTTGGTAAAGAATATATCTCTAATTATAACATACTAGAGGCTTGGTGCATGAAATTCATGTATGGGGAGGGGATGTCCCTCGGCCCAGCCTGCATCCTCTCTAATCTGGGACACCCCTCTCACAATCCAGGACTGCTGGCTCCCAACTTCCTGTCTGACTGCCTTACTGACTGACTGCCCCTAACCGCTTCTGCCTGCCAGCCTGTTTACGCCCTAACCACTCCCCTGCCAGTATGATCGACACCTAACTGCTCCCCTGCTGGCCAGATTACCCCTAACTGCCATCCTCTGCTGGTCATCCCTAACTGCCCTCCCCTGCCAGCCTGTTTACACCCTAACCACTCCCCTGCCAGTATGATCGACACCTAACTGCTCCCCTGCTGGCCCAATTACCCCTAACTGCCATCCTCTGCTGGCCTGGTCATCCCTAACTGCCCTCCCCTGCCAGCCTGGTTGCCCCTAACTATCCTCTCCTATAGGCCAGGTCAACCCCAAATGCCCTCCCCTGCTGGCTTGGTCACTCCCAACTGCCCTCCCATCTCGGCCTGGTCACTCCCAATTACCCTCCCCTGCAGGCCTAGTCCCCCACAACTGTCCTCCCTTTCAGGCCTGGTCCCTCCAAACTGCCCTCCCCTGCTTGCCTGATTGCCCACAACTACCGTCCCCTGCTGGCCATCCTGTGGCAGGCATTTTGTGTCCACATGAGGGTGGCCATCTTTGACCACATGGGAGCGGCCATCTTTAGTGTTGGAGTGATGGTCAATTTGCATATTACCTCTTTATTATATAGGATAACAAAAAATACAATCTATATCCTCATGTGGTTTTCTCCAGAACAGGTCAGGTAAAAAGCAGAGACTGCCCCTGTTTTCAATTCTGAAAATAGAGAATAATTAAAGATGTCTCAAAAGTAAAAAAGCTCATCTGATGTGAAGAAATTGCACTATGCTACATGTCTCTTGAGCCACATTATAGCAATAATTTCATGCCAGGCTAATTCTCCCTTGAATGTAAAACTACTTTACTACAATATAAAAATGAAAACATATGGACGTATACTTTTCTTCATATCCAAAGAATAAAAATAAAAAAAAAGGCTCAAATGTTCTCAATAGTTTACAAAAAGTTACTAATATATTCAATTAATTTAAAGTGTTATTTAGGGGAAACAAAATGTAAATAAAGACCTTAAAGGCAAGGGACATTTTATCAGACTTATACTGTGAAGACCTGGAATAATTTAGGGATCATGATTTGACCATGCATGGTATAATCATATTATAGTAGTATGGAACTACTAATTTTATTTATATCTCAATAAATAGAATTGAATGTCAAAAGATTAAAAACCTACATTTACAATGAATAGGTAGTTGCATTATTACTTACAAAAAAAATCTAAGAGTATTGGCAACTAATATGAAACTTGATGGGAAATGGTCTCTTCTCTGGGAATATTTCCCATAATGCCATAAAACAAGCTGAGTGCTCCAGTGGCAACAGTCACACAAATCAATGTGTGATACTAAATGCCTAATGTTAGGCTATGTATAAAAATTTTATGTTTTATATCCATATATAGCATATACACATCAAGGTGCTTACGTAAAATAAAATAAAAATCCATAAGCAAGACAGCAATGAGGCGTCATTTGTGAGAATGCATTCCAATAAGCATTCAGCCACGTTAGCGAATTATGCAAGTCAATGGGGTTATGAAGTGGAAATCTATTAAAGGAAAAAGGGCTTTTCAATAAAGATATGTTTCTAAAAAGCTCTTAAAAGTATTTTCTCTTAAACAGAAACCTACCAACAGAGTCACTACTCTTGATCCCTCCACAGAGTAACAGAAATTATTTATTAAATAATTTATTAAAGTAATTTTTAAATCCCATTTTGATTTACCCCCCAAATATACACACTCATAAAACCCTGTTTCTACAGTTTTCTAAAAAACGGGGTTCTCCTTAGGAATAAAAGCAAAGGCCCAGTTTGTATTGAAGAAAAGGCATTCTCTGTATTTGAAAAAGATCTGAATTCTACAGATATGCAGGGCTCTCCTAAAGTTGTTTTAAGCTTTATTAAAAAATTATCCCACTGGGGATGTACCAGCAACCAAGATACGTGCCCTTGACTGGAATCGAACCCGGGACCTTTCAGTCCGCAGGCCGGACGCTCTATTTACTGAGCCAAACCGGTTTCGGCTTTACATCTTTTTCTTTAAATTCCTTAAAATAAGGTGTGTAACCCACTATCATTTCCTTTAATTGAATCACAAACATTAGACAATGGCCCCAAAAGGTGCTTCAGCTGGTGATTCCATATTAATTCGCGAGGACCGAGAAAGATGTGCTTTGCTTGTATTACAAATCTTTTTGAACTAAGTTTTCCTGGAACAAAGATTTTTTTCTTAAAAAACAACAATACACTGTTTTAAATCTGTACTAATTTATGGATTTTATACTAAGAATACTTGACTTATATACAGAAATGCACAGATTCAAGGTAATTTTGGTCCAGTTTATGTCTTGCACACAAACATAACTGCAGCTCAAAAAAAAGCAAAAACAATGAAACAAACATAGATATGTACTTATTTTCAGTAGCCTAAGAGTGGGGAATGGAAAGTTGAAAGATACAGTTTAAGACTAATTCTTATTTAGCTAATGGACTAGTAGATCACAAAACAGCAAGATCAGACCGTTTTAAAAGACATAATACTCTGCCATAAAATGAACACAGGCTAAAAAAAAGAAAGCGCCTAAAACCCCATACTTTAATAGCATCTTTGGCATCTACCACAGCAAGGTCTCGAAGGGCCCAAGCGATCTGCCTTTTGTAGAAATCTCCTTTATCAGACTTCTTGACTTTGACCACCTTCACCTGCACAGGCCGTTCAGTTGTCACTGTTGAGTGAAACACACGTACATTAGAAATATTATTCACTTACTCATTTGTCATTCATTCATTCACTCATTGCAAATATAGCTATACACTATACTAAAAAAGAAGCAATATTTTATAACAAATGCTATGACTGAAGAATACTTAGAATATTAATGAAAAATTCTAAATCATACTAGAGGGCCAGAAGCAGATTGCTTGAGAAATGAAACTCTTAAAACTCAACAAGAAAAAAAAAAAAAAAAAAAAGCTGATTAAAAATTGGACCAAAAACCTTGACACCTCACCAAGAGGAGACACAGATCACAAAGAAGCATTATAAAAACATGCTCCACAAATTAAAACAATAAGCTAACACTACACACCTATTAATGTGGCCAAAATCTGAAACACTAACAATACAAAATGCTGGTGAGGATGTGAAGCAACAGGAATTCTCATGCATTGCTGGTGGGAATGCAAATAGTACAGTCACTCTGAAAAATAGTTTCTCTTACAAAACTAAACATACTCCTACCATACAATCCAGCCATTGTGCTCTTTGTCATCCACCCAAAGGAGCTGAAAACAAATGTCTGCACAAAAACCTACACATGCATGTTTATAACTGCTTTATTCATAATTGCAAATTTGAAAGCAACCAAGATGTCACTCAGTAGGTGAGTGGATAAATTGTGGTATATCCAGACAATGGAATGTTATTCAGAACTAAAAAGAAATGAACTATCAAGCCAGGAAAAGACATGGGGGAACTCTAAATGCATATTATTAAGTGAAATAAACCAATCTGAGAAGGCCACATATTGTGTGATTCCAACACTATGACAGTCTGGAAAAGGCAACAATATGGAAAGTAAAAAGATCAGTGGTTGCTAGGAGTGAAGGAGAGATGAACAGACAGAATGCAGAGAAGATTTTTAGGGCAGGGAAAAAACTCTGTATGATACTTGAATGATGAATATAAATCATTATACATTTGTCCATAACCAAGAAAGTTCAATACCAACAGGGTAAATGCTAAGGTAAACTATGGACTTTGTGTGATTATGATGTGTCAGCGTAGGTTCTTTTTTTTGGTAGCAAATATACTACTATTGTGAGTGGTTTTAATAAAGGGAGAGCTATGTATATGTGGGGGCAAGGAAGGGATATATGGAACATTTCTATCTCCCTCTCGATTTTGTTATAAACTTAAAGTGCTCTAAAAAATAAAGTCTTAAAAAAGTATATTAATTCTATGATAGGATCAGAAATCTAGGAATAAAGCCTTTACAACCACAAACCTTACTGAAAGGCATTACAAAAAGACCCAGATAAATGGAGAACTACATGATGTTCCTAGACAAGACTCAATTTAAAAGTGCAAGATCTCTCCAAAGTAAACTACAGATTCAAAACAATTCCAACAAAAATACCAACAAAATCTGAAACTTTACAAGTTGACTCTAAAATTTAGGTGAAAGAATAAAGTACCAAATAAGATAAAATGAAAACCAAATATAAGAACCCAGAAACAGATACATTCACACTCATCACTATAAACATGAACACAACAAATTAAATACTATAATGTAATAGGTAAAATTATAAAACTTTTAGAAGATAATATAGGTGAAAACTTTCAATACTCCAGGATAGGGAAGGCTATTTTAAGTAAAACACCAAAAGGGGAAATCAGATTGATTGATTAATTTGATTTAATTAAAATAATAAATTTCATTAAAAGATATTATAAAAAGTGAAAACGTAAGCCACAAACTGGGATACAAATATACAACAAAGGATTAGTATCCAGATTATATAAAGAACTTAAAACAGCAAAAAGACAAGCAACACAACAGAAAAATGAGAAAAATGTCTTAAAGGGCAAATTTCTTTTTTTAAATTGATTTTTACAGAGAGGGAGGGAGGGAAGGAGGAAGGGAGGGAGGGAGGGAGGGAGGGAGGGAGAGAAATCGATTTATTGTTCCACTTATTTATGCATTTATTGGTTGATTCCTATGTGTACCCTGACTGGAAATCAAACCTGAAACTTGGCTTACGCAGACAACACTCTTAACTGAGCTACCTGGCCAGGGCCAACAGGCACATTTCTTAGACAAGGAAACGAAATAGATAATACATTTGTGAAGAGAGGCTCAATCTCATTATTAATTAAGGAGATCCAATTTAAAACCACAATGAAATACTATTTCACAACAACCAGATTGAAAGTATTAATAGTCTGTAAAAACCCAAGTATCATGGTATGGTTAGTCTTCATTTTATTTTATTTTATTTTTTTTTTTTTAGAATTTATTTATTTTTATTAATCCTCACCCATGGATATTTTTCCATTGATTTTTATTTTTTTAATTTTTTTTTAATTTTTATTTTTTTAAATCAATCTTTATTGTTCATATTATTACAAAGGTTCCTCATTTCTTCCCCCCTCCACCAGGTTTCCACCCCACCCTCTGCCCCCTCCCCATCCCCCATTGTCCTCATCCATAGGTGCAGTTTATGTTCAGTCTCTTCTTCCCTCAATTTCCCCAATAGTAAATCCCTTTTCAGATAGTAAATCAGTTACTTAGCATTTTCTCATATCAATAATACCTCCACATGCCCAATGATACACTTCACACAAAAGACATTTCCCAATAGGTCCACCAGCCTCATCCAGGCCCCACCCAAGGCACTCACAGATCAACACCCCAGTCCTAAACTAACTCAACACATCCAGATCTAAGCCTTCATCACTTGATTCAGCAGACCCTCAAGTTCCCACGAAAGTTTCCAGCCATGTCTGAGAAGCAGCCGTGGGGCAGGGGCAGGCAAGGAGCGAGCTGTTCTGGGCCTGGCTGCTCAGGGCCTGGCCTCTGTTGCTCTGGTTCATTCCACAACCAGCTGCTCCGGGTCTGGTCACTGCCGCTCCTGACCTAGTTGCTCTGGACTTGGCTGCTGCTGCTCCGGGCCTGGCCGCTCCCAGCCTAGCAGCCGCTGCTCCGGGCCTGGTAGTCTTCATTTTATACATATAAAATAAAAATTCTTTTGTATCTACTCAATACCCAATTAAAAAATTTTTTTAAGAATAAATTTGCTGGCCCAACAGTTTTTCAGCTAGAAAAATAATGAGAATATTTTAAAAAGTCCTCTAGAAAATAAAAGAATGCCAAACAAGAACTTTTTCTTATTAAATACCCACCTGTGGCACACAAAAAACAGTTCTTTTTCTTTTTTCCTGCTTTGCAGACATTGACAATACTCAGCAGGCGTTCATCATTTGGTGTAAAAATGTCTCTTTGTAACGCATGCTTGATTGCTGTCATCTTTACTCAGCTGAAAAAAAATGGAAATATATATATTAAGCTCATTCTCAAAATCATTCTATCTTACATTGTTCCATTTATGATAAAAATGATCTTACTTATGGCTAATAAGCATAGGAAGAATGATTTAATACATTAATATACCTACATCATAAAAATAAAAAGCTGAAAAAGAAATTAGAGAACCAGTTTTATCAAAGTCTAGTCTTTGGAAGTGCTCACCAATATTTACATTAATAAAAAAGAAACATTCAAATTGACTGTACCTCCACTACGCCCACAAGCCAGGCCCACCAGCCAATCAGGAATGAGTATGCAAATTAACCCAACGAAGATGGCTATGGCCACGGAGCAAGCAGGAGGCTTGGGTTGCCTCCATTGATGGAGGAAGCCAAGCCTCTCGCCCGCTCTGGCCAGCTCTGGCCTCTGCTCAAGGCTACAAAGTTTCAATTATAGAAGATAAATAAGTCCCAACAAAAATGGTGGTGGCCATGGAGCTGAAGAGAACAAGAGGCTTGGGTTGCCCCCAGTGATGGAGGAAGCCAAGCTTCCTGGATTGCTCTAGCCTTCAATCAAGGCTAAAAGTTTCAATTATAGAAGATAAATAAACCCCAGATACCAGAATCTCCGCTTGGGTTGCCAGGGATCCTGCAAACCACCAAAGGTCCCTCGCCCAGGCTGCCCCACACCCCAAGGGAACCCACACCCTGATCTAGGACACCCTTCAGGGCAAATCAGCTGGCCCCCATCTGTGCACCAGGCCTCTATCCTATCTAATAAAAGAGTAATATGCAGATTAACCACCACTCCAACACACATGATGGCTGCCTCCATGTGGACAAAAGATGGCCAGCAGGAGAAAGAGCTGGAAGGCACCAGGCCTGCAAGGGAAGGCAGTTGGGGGCGATTAACCCTGCAGGGGAGGGCAGTTAGGGGTGACCAGACCAGCAGAGGAGAGAAATTGGGGGTGATCAACCCTGCAGGGAAGGGCAGTTGGGGGCAATCAGGCTGGCAGGGGAGCAGTTAGGCATCAAATCAGGCTAGCATGTGAGTGGTTAGGGGGTGATCAGGCTGGCAGGCAAAAGCAGTTAGGGGCAATCAGGAAGGCAGGAAGGTGAGCAATTGGGAGCCAGCAGTCCTGGATTGAGAGGGATATCTGATGGCCCATTTAGGCCCAATCTTATCGGGATTGGGGCTAAACGGGCAGTCAGACATTCCACGGGGGGTCCCAGATTGGAGAGGGTGCAGGCTGGGCTGAGGGACTCACACCCCCGTCCATGAATTTTGTGCATTGGGCCTCTAGTTATAATATAAAATAAAAAGTTAAGAAAAAAATTAAATAATTCACGCTCAATCTTTAAATATACATTTCTTACCACTCAATTACAACTCAACAGTAAAAAGATCAACAGTCCAATTAAGAACTAAAAAATATTTTTATTGATTTCAGAGAGAAGGAAGAGGGAGATAGAAACATCAATGAGACCTAGATCAGAGCTTTTTACATGCCTCCTCCCAGGGATTGAGCCTAGAACCCAGGCATGTGCCCTGACCCGAAATGAACTAGAGACCTCTTGGGCCACAACGGCCAGGCAAGCAAAAGATTTTAAGCACATGAAAAGATGCTCAACATCATTAACATTAGAAAAATGTAAATCAGAACCACAATGAGGTACCTATCACTTTACACCCACTAGGATGTGTCAAAGTGAAAAGACAAGTGTTGGTAAAGATGTGGCAAAAAAGGAACTTTCATACTGGCTATTATAAAAATGGTGCAGCCACTTTGGAAAAACAGTTTGGCGATTCCTCAAAAAGTTAAATATGGAGTTAACATATGATCCAGCATTTGCACTCCTAGGTGTACACTCAAAAAAACTGAACATTTATGTCCACACAAAAACTTGTACATGAATGGTCATAGCAGCATTATTCACAAAAGCCAAAAAGTGGAAACAACTCTAATATCCATCAACTGATGAACCGATACAACAAACTGACATGTAATCCATACAATGAAATATTATTCTGCCATAAAAAGGAACAAAAGTACTGATAGATGCTAAAACATTGATGAATCATGAAAACATGCCAAGTGAAAGAAGATACCAAGAACCACGTATTTTATGATTCTACTTATATAAAATGTCCAGAGTAGACAAATTCACAGAGACAGAATGATGTGTAGTTGCTAGGGGTTGGAGTAAAAGAGGGGGTGACTGCTAATGGGTATGGGGTTTCTTTTTGTGTGTGATGAAAATGTCCTTGAATTATGGTAGTCACAGTTGTATAACCGTGTGAATATACTAAAAACACTGAATTATACACTTGAAAAGGATGAATTTTATGATATATAAATTCTAACTCAATAAAACTGCTATAAAAAACTGTTTTCTGCCCTGGCCACTGCTCAGTGGTTAGAGCATCAGTCCATGCAGTGAAGGGTCACAGTTTGATTCCCAGAAGGGAACATACCTTGGTTGCAGATTCCTCAATCCTGTAGGAGTGTGTGTGGGAGGTAAATGATCCATGTTTCTCTCCCCACACCCCATCCACTCTCTAGAAATTTATGAAAAAAAAATATCCTCGGGTAAGGATTTAAAAAAAAAAAATGGTTTTCATTTAGCTCCCTTTTCTCATGTTATTCGACATCTTTTAAAACATATCAAATTAAGTTAAATATTTAAAAAAATCTTTTTAATCTTATTTTTGAAATGTATCTTTTTACATATATACAGTGTGTGTGAATATATAGAACTATTTTCCAATGCAAATGTAATATTTCATATATGTGAGCTTGCTTTGGAAATTCCACTTCTGATACCATTTCGATGGAAAATGAAGAAAGTATGTTTAAGTAAATAACACAGAATGAATTTTTATAACACAAGGAGACTTTTGTAAACAAGGTATCCTTTATTTTACCGTGAAAATTTTATCTTTGCTCCAACTAAAAAAATTATTTTCTTACAAAAATCAGATATTCCCTCTCTCACCTCATCTCAGCCTCTAGTCTTCTGACCTCAATCTCTTTCCTCTTCTGTCTCTCTGACCTCTCCCAAGCTTCTTGTCCAACCCAGCCTGGGAACAGTGTCCATTGCCCTACCCCCACACTACCCCTTCTCACTACTCTGTTTGTAGACAAGTTCACCCTGATTATAAATCTCCATAAACAGTATATATTTTCCCACTTCTCTTGTGCTACCGTATACCACTTAAAAAGGCCTTGTTCACTGTATTCATTATAAATATCTAAATCCAAACACAGCTAAACTTTCAATGTTGCTTAGCAATTCTTTAACATTCCTTCAATGACTCCTCTTCCTACTCCCCATCAGTGTTGTTGCAAATCCTTATTTCTTTCTTCCAACCCCCAGCTCCAGTACTAGCCTCCTCTCTCTCTGCAAATGACTTCCTCTACTCTGCAGAGAATAAAGAAGCCATGAAGTACAATTTTCACCAATTGCTTTCTTTTCCACCGTTCTACATCTTCACCCATCTTAACCTCCATTCCACTTATTACAAAATGTCCTTGTTACCAATTCCTTAGTATGTTACAGGGCCTACACCTGTATTAAAAGTTCTATTCCACCCCATTCCCAAGCCACATTGGATCCTGGCCAGTTTACTTTTTTTTTTCTCCATCTCCATTGCTTTTTATTAATGCAACTTCCTTTTACTGGAATTCTTTTCTCTCTGGGCAAGTCCAACTCATCCCTCAAAATCTGTGAAGCAGTCACACGTACACAATGAATAATTCCCTTTCCACTTCTCTAACACTTCTTCTATACTCTGCTAACATACCACTTAAAACTATATTTTCTAGCTAGTTGTATTCTCTCCCCCCATTAAAAGTAGCTCCTTGTAGATAAGGACCATGTCTTACTCATCTTTGTATTCCTTTGTCAAGGACATAGTAGTCACCTAACAAATTAACCAAAATGAAAATCAAATAACATGACAGTGACAACTTCCCTAAGCTTAGTTCCACCTTCCCAACTCTCACATCTGTGAACAAATGTCCAGGTTCAAAATCTGCTACCACATTCTGTTGATTTCCCCTCATTGACACATTAACATCTTTCTATTTTGTTCCCATTGTCCACACACTAATCCAGGTTCACATCAGTTATATTTATTTAACAGTACAACATCTGATTATCTCTTTGCAAGCTTCCACAACCCCAAAATGCTCAACAAACTAGGACTATTAAAACACAGCTTTCATCAAAACATGCTCTTGCTCAACCCTGGTTAGTGTTTCCAAAAACAAGCCTTCCACTCCAAGCTCTGTGGTTCATTCTAGTCTTTAAATCTTTGCTTAGATGCTCTTCCGTGTGGGGAATATCATCTATCCAAACCCTAATTATATTTCACTGTTTACATAAAGTTGATTCAATAAAGATCTTATTCCAAATTGATCTCTCCTCTCAATTGCTATGGCACTTAACTGTACTTACTAAGCAGTCAAGCACTTGCTGCAAACTGCTTCATGAGAATGTAAGCTTGTGCATCTCAAAAACTCTTTTAAGAGACACAGAGGGAGAAGGGGGGAAAGGGGAGGGAAGGGGAGAAAGACACGCTTTTGGCACAGTTCTGTGTTCTTTCTTAGTAAGTCTTCAACAAACACCTCCTGCGGTAACCTTGAAGTGGTAAAAACCGGTCAAAGGAATGACTGTTAGTGGCCAATGCTTGCAACACACAGTTCCTCTCTGGTTAAAAGCAACAACTGAATTATATGGTTCGTGGTAGGAAAAGAGGACTGGCCATACCTCATAAAGGAGTTAGGCACAATGAAAGGCACTATGTGACCCTCCTTCATTCGGCAAATGCTGATGTCATACTACGTGTGTGCAAGGCACAGTTCTAGGTTACTGCGATGGATACGACAGAGGAGTTCATGCAGAGACCACCACCAGCGCCTCCAGGGCATTTACATCCTAAGGGTCAAGTGATGAACCCTACAACCTTCACCAAGTACTTTTCTGACAAGACAGTGG